TTCAACGGCTGCATCTGTAGATATTCTGTTACTAGTGTTAGGCACAGAGTTTCTGCCGCACTTCTAATGTTGCTAGGACAAACCCAGACATATCGCTTTCGAGGCTGAAGATGTAGTGAATCACAGAGTTTTGACTGATTGTGACCGGACAGATGTTTTGGGAGGAGTCGTTACATTGATGGTCCTTGCTTATGTGACCTACGGTCTTCGAGTATGGGTTCGCCGTGGTAAAACATGGGCAAGCGAGGACTGGGTCATGACTTTCGCAACTGTGAGTGGGATAACGGGAGCAATTCAACTGTTTGTGGTCTGGGACTGACACTCCTGCTTCCAAGATTCCCTTTTCTGTCTTGACAATCAGTTGCATTCTTGCTTCCGTCAATGGTGTCGGTGTGCATGCCAAGCACCTGAAAACACCGGGAAACGAGCGTTATCAGACCCTGGGCTTGATGTACTTCTTCCTCTTTGAAGTCTTTTACTGCGCAGCAATCCTGCCCATCAAGCTCTCCATCTCCTTAATGCTAATTCGAATCGCCCAAAACCGAAAGGCGTATATTTACTCTCAGTGGGCAATGATGGCCCTCTTCTTTGTGGCCAATACCGGCGCCATGTTCTACATTATCTTCCAATGTACCCCCGTCTCTTACGCCTGGAAGACTGGCCAAGAGGGCTTCTGCCTCCCGGCGGCTTGGCTCGCTGATGTGTATTACGCTTGTACAGCAGTGAACATACTTACGGACTGGGTGTAAGTAGCCCTGATATCGAGAAGACATGCATTTGATCATCTCTCGTTTCCAGTATGTATTTGCGATGATGAGAGCTATTGACTGATTCATTCCAGTACTGCTCTCCTGCCTATTCCATTATTATGGCACGTTCGACTTGAGCGAAGTGAAAAGCTCTCAGTTGCGGCAATCCTCGGGCTGGGAATATTGTGAGTTATACTGTCTATGATCTCTCGCCCCAAATGATCCCTCTGTGTACCAACAACCTCGCAGTGCAAGTCTGGCAGCTTGCATCAGACTGAACTATACCATCAACCTAACCGACTCTGCGGATTATCTCTGTAAGTCTGGCGCCCAGGTCTCAATAGTGGGCCTAATAGACTAATGCATCCAGTCTCTGTTTCCAACATTGTGATATGGGGCTACGGAGAGATCGCCGTTGGCATGTTCTGTGGATGCCTTGCGACCTTAAGGCCGCTTTTCCGGAAGATGCTCCGTATTGACTCTCTTGGTACATCCAGACAGAAGCCGAGCGCAGGGGTGTCGAACCTCCCTTTCCATCAGAATTCAAGAAAGACCTATGAGCAATTCTCAAACAGGCGGGATGTCGAGATGGGAAACATGGGAACCGTCTGCGACGCTTATAGAGGCACCGCCCAAGATCCCGAGAACTTTCCAACTAGCAGCGATTCAAGCGAGCATCAGATAATGTATAAGGTGAAGAAGAATGGTATGGGAAGTAAAAGCATTTTTGTGAGTCGGCAAGTTGAAGTTGAACGTTCTAGAGTTTAATTTAATAGATATGTAGTTTCACTTCTATTCCATACATATCTAAGGACATATAGTGCCTTTATATAGTAGTAAGCACTTAAGACCTAGTGCTTAAAAATAATATAATATTAATAATAATAGTTATAATATAATAAGTATTTATAGTCTTAGCTTTATAATATATAAATAAAATTAAAGGATATTATTTTAATAATAATATTAATATTATAAATTAATAGATATATTTATATACTTTTATAATAAAATATTCTTTATTAAATAAATAATTTTAATTATAATACTTTTATATAGTTTTATTTTATATAATTTTATTTTTATATAATTTTATTTTATATAATTCTATTTTTATAGAATTTTACTTTAATTTTATATATATAATTTTATTTTTATTTTATATATATTTTAATATATATATAATATTTTAATATAATAATATATATTTTAATTTTATATTTTTAAAAATATATTATTATATTAAAATATTATATATATATTAAAATATATATAAAATAAAATATAATCTTTTAATAATAATATTAATATTATAAAAATAATTATTAATAATTAAATCTTTATTTTTAAAAGGTTATTCTTATTTAAAATAATTAATATATTTTAAAAATATTAAAATTATAAATTTAATTTTAAATAAATTAAAATTTATAAATATTTTTAATTTTAATTTAAAAATTTTAATTTTAATTTAATTTCTTTAATAAAAATATTAAATATATTTTAAAAGATTTAAATAAAGTTAAATTAAATTATAATATAATAAAATACTTAAATAAAGATTATTTTAACTTTATATTTTTAAAAATTCAATTTATTATATAAAACTTTTATAATAATTTTATAATTTATAATAATTATAATAATATTTATTATTAAAAGTATTTTTATATTAATATATTAAATTATATTAAATTAATTTTAATTAAAATTATTAATTTATTAAAAATTAAAATTATAATAAGTTATAAATTAATTTAATATTAATAAATATTATATATAAATATTATATATAAATATTATATATAAATATTATATATAAATATTAAAAGTTATAAATTTAATTTTAAATATATTTAAATTTATAAAACTTTTAAATTTAAAACTTTTAATATTAAATTTATATTTATAAATTATTTATATTTTTAATTTTATTATTAAATTAAAAATAAATAATTAAAGTTTTAAAAGAATAAAATATAATATATTTTAAAATTAATTTAATTAAGTTTATTATATAGAATTTCTTATAATAACTTTATAATTTATTATATTTATAATATTATTTATTATTAAAAATATTCTTTTATATTAATATATTAAATTATATTTAATTAATTTAAATTAATATTATTAGTTTTAATATAAATTAATTTATTAAAAGTTAAAATTATTATAAATTATAAACTATTTAATTTTGATATTATTAAATATTATATATAAAGTTATTATATAACTTAAATAAATATATATTAATTAAAATAGGTAAAAATAAAACTATTATTTTTAAAGGTTTTAATTTTATTTAAACAAATATTTATTTAATAAATTTTAAAAAATAAAATTACTTTAAAGTAGTTATTAAACTTATTATATAATTTATTAAATTAAAAGATAATCTTTAAATAAAATAATTATATCTTATTATTTAAGTTTATAATTTTAATAACTTTATAAAAAAATAATTATTAATAATTAAGTTTATACTTATATAAAAGTAGATCTTTATTTTAAAAAAGTTATTAATATTTAAAATAATTAATATATTTTTAAAAGTTAAAAGATTATAAATCTAATTTAAAAGAAATTAAGATTTATAAAAATTTTAAATTTAAACTTAAAAGCTTCCTTTTAAATTTAACTTTTTAAAGAAAAATATTAAAAAATTTAAAAAAGTTTAGATAAAATTAAATAAAATTATAATAATATAATATAATTAAATAAAAACTAATTATAAAATTATAATTATAAATCTTTTAACTTTATATTTAAAAGGAAATTTATATTTATAAAATTAAAAATATTTATAAAATTAAAAACATTTATAAAATTAAAAATATTAAAATATATTAAATTAAATTATAATATAATAAAATAATTAAATAAAAATTAATAAAAATACATAATTTTTATTTTTTAATTTTATATTTTTAAAAATATAAATAATTTATATTTAAATATTAAAACTTTTAATATAATAAATATAATAAATATATTTATTTATATTATATTATACTTAATTTAATAAGTATAATATATTATAATTTTAATAAAGTACTTTAATTAATATAAACTTTAAATATAATTAATATATTAAGTATTATATAGTTTTATTTTTATTTTATATATATTTAAAGATATATATAATATCTTTATATAATAATAAGTATTTAAAATTTAATAATAATATTAATTATAAATAAAATAACTTATAGTTTAATTATTATAAAGGAATTATATAATAAAATTAAATTTTAAAAATAATTATTATATAAATAAATTATATTAAAAGAAGTTTAATTAAAATTATTCCTTTAAATATATATATATATATATATCCTTAAATATATATAAAATAAAAGTAAAACTATATATATATATATATATATATAATAAAACCTTTATTAAATAAGTATTATAACTTTTATTTAAATATATAATTATTAACTTTAAAAGAATTTAAAATAAAGAAATAATTTATAATATATTATTTTTAAAACTTTTATAATAAAGTATTAAAACTTTTAAAAGAGTTTTAAAATAATTTATAAAAAATAAAAAAATATAATAAACTTATTCTTCTTTAAGTTTATATTTTTATTATTAATAACTATTAACTTTTTAATAATATAAAAAAGTATAATAAAAATAAAGGAAAGAATAGATTTAAAGTTTTTTTTTAAAAGAATTATAAAGATATATATAAAGCTATTAAAGACTTTATATATAAGTTTTAAACTATTAGGGAAGAAATGAGTAGTTATATAGTATAAAGGAAAAATATAGTATAGCTGAAGCCCTAAGTACTATATAGCCTCTAATTACGACCATGTGTGAGTATACTGTCCGGAGAGGAGGAGGGGGCTGGACACAAAACGTGAAGGACCATCAGGCGCAGCCTGCAGTATCGAGCTAAATGGAGTCCTTAAGGTCTTCTTTGAATCCCCTCCCACCGCAGAAAACCAGCTCTGCCGATTTGAAGGACTGCGAGGGCGGACAAGAACCTGTAGTCACTAGAATCATGCCTGTGATAGAATGGTAGGTAACATTAAGGACGTGATGGTTCGCGCTGTTTGGGTTCCAAGGCTGCAGTCTTCCCCCCGCCCGCCCAACATCCATCTATCATTGAATCCACCTGATGTTTTTTCTGTTCTATCGTATATGGCGAACTTCAAACATGACGCCACGGGCCACAAATCCGGAATGCGCCATATCACTTGCGGCGTTCACGGACTGACATGCGTCTGCATTTCAATCTATCGTGCCGTTGAACAGCTTCCCATTGTCGCAGGTCGGCAAGTTGGCAGCATTCTGTTGACGACAGCCCCCGTCGCAGGTAAAGAGTGTCTGCTGACCGTTGACGCAGGTAAAGAAGATTGGAGAGCTGAAGGAGGCAGACTGGATGCAGCCGTTTTGGGTCTGTACGGCCCGGCAGATGTTGACGCTCTGGCGACCCCTGACCTCGGCTCCCGTGGCCAGGCCGCTGAGTATGACGACGACAACAGCGGCCGGGGTTTTCATGGCTGGCTGGGAGGTAGAGCTGGAGGAAATCGAGTATTGGCGAGGGCGCTGCTAGGTGTTGTGGATAATACAATTGCGACAAGAGTGGTGGTGGCTTTTGAATCTGCCGGAGCGGAAGTTCTCATGTGATGACGGCGATCAATTGCTATCCCTTTCATGCATCCGTGGACACGACGGTCGTCATCGCACGAGGTCCGGAAGGAGAGAAGGCGCCTTGGATGGTGGCGCCCCTGGCGTATTTGCCGACTTGGCCGTTTGAGATCATTGATGGGTGTCTCGCAAGGGGTTCAGGGGCCGGTGTTTCGGGTTGCCACCATTTCGGCGCACGGGCAACTTGACTCAAAAACTGCCCTTTTCAGCCATATCATTCAATTGTAATTATGGAACCTCGGGAAGCTGGAAATCAACTGGACTTTGATGGGCAGAAAACTGCCGAGTTGACGTCTGCGTCCACAACCAGGCCAACCGGGCTTCACTTTGGCTCCTCAACAATATTTGTCACCCTCGGGAGATGCGTGCCGCCTGCCTGAAGTGAAATCGGCGAGTGGCGAAGCGCGCACAGTCAATCGAGCGTTGCAAATTGCCTAGCCTTGATTCCGGCTGTAGTCGTAAGCACTTGAGCTTTCTGTGTTGCCTCCTTCATTGCTTTTGCTTCGCACGTGAGGGCAGAATTTTAGTCAAAGACTTTAAATGAATCTAGGGCTTTTACGACAACACATCTTCTCCCCTTCAAGCCATATAACACCCCATCTATTTAATTACTGATTTATCCCAAAGTGGGTTAAATTATATTAACTCTTATATATATCTTATAACATAACTTTAAATGTTTTAGTTTGAGACGCCATGTATGTCTCCGGATGTATGCGGAATAGGAGCGAAACCAGATGTGACGGTCCAGTGCTAAAGCCTGTGACTGAGCTTATAAACTGCTGGAATAACTAATTGCTTTGAATTGGTTATTATGGTCTTTTGGCCGAGCGGTCTGTTGCGCCAGTAATCAATGGAATTCCCACCATCTTACCAGATATAACTTTTGAGTTGGGTGGTGAGGTGTGATTGGGGGAGAGGCACGTAGTCAATCCCCTTCTCGGCTACATTCCGGTGAGCCCTGTCTACAGAATAAGAACTCTTGGTAACACCAGAGTGTATGTTTGTGGCAGTCTGCTGCTTTAATACCGGCAGTCTTTCGTGGCTATGATGTCGAGTGATGAGGAGACAGAATGCATGCGGTGGTCTTTGACGGACCAGGTCGTCACAGACTACTTAGGCGTGAGACCTTGCCAATCTCTCAACAGGTTAATCACGAGGCGATGGACCAGAGAGTGGAGCCGATAGCTTGACAATATTGCTACAGACACACTTGTCTAGAGCGCTTCAATGTGCACTTTGAAACTTGTTGTAGAAAAGGAAACAACAAGGCAAAGGCTAATGCTTGCCGCGACCAGCGGGCGTTTTAAGAACTACCCAGTTCAAACCCCGGACGTGAACGCCCCACGCCAACTACCGCACTATTTCCCAGTAGAGACCAGCTACTGGGAGTGAGAATGTACAAGAAGATGCAGAAGACGTACAACGCCCAGGCACGTCTGTGATGAAAGCACCTGGCAGCATCACATGGCGATCCAGGGGTGGTGGCGAGGGCGATGTGGCGTGACGGAGGAAGTTTTGAGAGACTTTCTAAAACCAGCCTGCCGCTTGCTTCCTTGTGCTAGGCACGAGATGCGATCCAGTGAGGCGTTCTCTCATAGCAGACTCGAGCGGGTGCCACTGGGCTCGTTCCCGAGGTATCATGTGCACAGTAGCCAAGTCGACCTTGCCGCCGCCTTCAGATACCCCGGGGACTGTAACCGTCACGGATTAGACATGGGCATGTCCGTGTAGAAGAGAGCCTGCCCGGTCAGCCCGGTCATGTCCATGTACACTTGTCTCGCGGCAGGGTCAAGATCCATGATGCTGAAGCTGAGTGCCGACGGATCCAGCTGGCCGTGTCCCAGCTGGGCTTGCTCGTACATGGCCGGGTCAAAGGGCGCAACCCGCGGAGTGGCCTGCTCAACAGGCGAGATCTGCGGTGGGGTGGGCAAAGGGCCGTTCGTACGGGCAAGGTTGTGTCGAGGAAGCGGGTGCACCTGCGAGTGGGGCGGCATCTCTGCGGCGCTCATCTCCCCCAAAGAGTAATGCAGTGATTTGCCACCCCATGCGACTGGCGAGTGGGCCATATCGGGATCGTCCAGGGAATCCTCCACCTCGCGTATGGCGGCAGTGAGGAAGCCGACGCCTCTAGACCGCACCTTTAAGCTCCACTGGAAGTCGACCAGCTTCTGGCGGTAGAACCCGGCCTCCATCTCGGTGCCGCTGGTTGCCCACAGGAGCCCGCCGAATGACCTGATGAGGGCCAGGGACTTTGGTGCCGCGGACCACCAAAAGGCCTGCAGGTGCTCGGGGCGGAGACACTCGACAAAGCTCATGGCCTTGTCGAGGCACGCCTTGCCTGCCTCGCGGGCGACCTCCCGCACTGCGGGTGGGGTCTCGGGGGTCACACGGCGCAGGATGAAGCGGTAGATCATGATCTCGGTGGCGAAGCACGACAGGTGGAGGTTGCCGTTGGAGCAGAGCCTCCTCGGCCTGGTCGAGTCCATCTCCAGGCCCGGGGGAACCTCCTCGGCCCATGCCTCGAGCCGCCTGACCATGGGCTTCACCGCATTCATCAGGCCCTGCACCCCGTGCTGGGCGTAGACGCTCTCCATGCGCATCTGGTTCGGGCCGTACAGGGCCTCGAGGGTCTCTGCCATTATCCCGGTGAGGTGCGTGAGGTGGATAAAGACCTGCCGCCCGGTCTCGACGTCGGTGCTCCCGTCCTTGGCGTCGTCGTCGGCAGCCGATTCTGGAAAGTCGTCGAGCGACAGCTGGGAGATGCGCCAGGAGCCCGGTGTGATGTGCGACGGACGACCGTGGGTGAAGGCGCCCCACTTGTCCAGCATGAAAACGGCCCAGGCCAGCCTCCTCCTCAGCCCCTTTTCCCAGTCCGGGATGTTCCACGTGGAGCAGTCGACGTGCAGGCCGAGCTCCTCGGCGAGCGCGACCACCTGGCTGGTCAGCACCCACGAGTCGCCACCCGACCTCTGCAGCAGCAGCAGGCCTGCCTGGACGGTGGAGAGCTTTGGGCGGTGGATGACGGCGGCCAGGGCCGTCATGGCGACCTTGAGCAGGGCGGCGGCGTCGGGCTTGTCCCTGGGCGACAGCTCGGGGTCGTACTCCCACCAGTCCATGGCGAGGAGGTAGAAGGCGGCGAGCTGGGGCGGGGAGAATTCCTTGTAGGAGCGGGCATACTTGTCGAGCCAGACGGCCTTGTGGATGACGGGGAAGCTGGGGTGGACCGTCCGGAAGTAGAGGCTGACCAGTGCCGGGCCGTGGGGGCGGACGAGCGACTCGACGTACTCCAGGTCGTCGTCGTCGTCGGGGCTAAAGAGAGACTTTGAGTCTGGGCGCGACAGAAAGGTGGTGGCGTGGTCGGCGCGGCGGGACTTGGGGGCAGCGTCGTCAGGGCCATGGTCGGCGAGGCCGTGCAGGAAGAGGTCCAGGAGCCGGGCCTCGTAGACGGAGCTGGGGCCGATGTACCTGAAATGCGTGGTGCCGTGGAGCCCCAGCGTGGAGTCAAGAAGTGACCTCGCACTGCAGGGGCTCGCAGCGTGAGAGTCATCCCTCGAGGTGGAGGTGGAGGTGGCGGACCTCGGCTTTTTCCTGGAGGAACTGGGGCGCGCACACGCAAGATGGCCTGTCAGCAGCTGTGCCAATGGGCTCGGGGCGGTCGGCTGCACAACTCACAGGTCGGAGCTCTGCCTGCGGTGCTCTGGGTCCGAGGAGATGCTTGCCAGGCCGTCAGCCTTGGGCCTCTTCCTCCGCTGAGGCTCGTCGAGATATGTGCAGGCACGGCGGTGGAAGGAGCACAGGACACACTTGTCCTGGCCGGGCTCCTTGACACATCTCGACTTCCTCTTGCGGCACGTGTCACACGGACGGTCGGCGCGGGGGCGGGTGGCTTGCGACGAGTGAGCGGCGTGTGGCTGGCCGGCGCCGGCTCCGGCTCCGGCCCCAGCTCCGGCCCCCGCCCCCGCCCCCGGTCCCGGTCCCGGTCCCGGGCCAGCGTCGGGGCTGGAGCAGGTGCTCGCCTCGGAGGCATGGTATTTGTCCCGAAGGAGGTCCATGTGGTCCATGTGGTCGGGGTGTGTCGAGGTTGTCAGGCGGAGGGCTGGCTGGCTGGCTGGCTGGCTTGGCTTGCTGGCTGGCTGGTCTCCTCTTGACCATGGCTCAGCGGACGAGAAGCATCGCGGAGGCCAGAGGGGGGGAGGAGAAGGCGCGGCCTGGGGGGTGTGGGGGTAATCTATCTCTGGGCTGGCGAGACACAAGACCACCAGATCTGGACCGGCCCAGATCTGACGGCAGCCATGCCACCATGCCAGGCGAGGCCAATGTTCCAATGTTCCAATGTTCCGCTCCCGGATCCTCGGCAGGGATCACAGAGGCGCGGGTGGCTGGGTGGGTGTGTGGGTGTGTCAGGCAGTCAGGAGGGAGCGGTTGACTGTCTGACTGTGATGGTGCAACATGGAGGCTCAAAACCTTATCGCCCCTGCCGGGCAGGCTAGCAGGCTAGATACCTGGGTACCCGGGTACCCATGTACCCATGTACCCATGTACCCATGTACCCATGTACCTGCGCATCTGGGCTGCAGCTATTTCTGGACCGGAAGGCAGCTGCGTCCCCCGACCACCCCACAACGTCTTCAAACGGACCTGAGGCTTTCTGAATCGGGCTGCCTGCCTGCCTGCCTGCCGCCTTGTTCGCCCGTTGTCGTCGTCCCGGCTCTTGATCTGATCAGCACCCGTCCTATCGCTCGAGGTCGCTGCCACAATGGGCAGGACGCTGCCCTGGAAACCCGCGGGCCACCATCCCACCCCGAAACCACCGACCTCTCTACATCCGACAAGAACCGCCTCACCACCCCAAGGCACCTCTCTCTCCCGCCCGAAGCCTGCCGCCGTACCACCACGCTCGCCCGCACCCAGCCCTGGGCCCTCCCGCACAGACGGCTCCGCCTCGCCTCCCTCAAGCCCTCCCCGCCCCTCTGAAGCTCCACTTCCCGAGAGGTCAGCCTGCCTCTCCCTCACGCCATCCGTTCAAGCTGACTCCCGCACAGTTTCATGGTTCAAGGCTTTGACAATGATGACCGCTGGCGCATGGTCGAGGACGAGTTCTACTCGGTTGCCTCGCGCTTTACCGCACATCTCCATGCCGCCCAGTACCGTCGTCTGAAGAACGAGGCCAAGAGGCGAGATCCGGCCATCCAGCATCTCCCCCGGCCCGTCACACGCCCTCCGACTCTTGATGTGGTGCGGCGCCAGGCTGCCTCTACCTTGGCCGCCTCCCAACGCCAAGCTATTGCCGTGGCCAGTCTGCATTTGAATGCCTCAGACCCAGCCTCAGCCACAGCCACTGGCCGATCCCAGATCCACCCTCGTAGGCAACGGACTCATCTGGCCAGCCTGTTAGACAGCCCCCGGAAGACGGTGCAGCCATTGACAGACATCGCAAACTCAAACGCAGAGGCACGTGCCGCTTCCCTGAGCTCGAGCAGTCAGCCGACAAGTCGTGCCACCCGCGCTGGCACTCCATCGGCCCGGCCCATCCCCTTCGCCACGTCCGCTCAAACTCGAGAGCGGCCACGAGGAATCCCTGAACCGGCTGCCGCGGGACGTGACCTGACTCCAGAGCGGGCCCGTTCCCAGTCAGATCGCCATGGCAACGCGGATGCTTGTGACAGATACTCGACCACGTCCGACCGGACACAGCAGGCCAAACATTTGGCTTCAGCGCCGGCGTTGGGAGGACCCCTACAACAGCTCACCTCAGTCGGTCGCGCATCCAGAACCGCCGCTGCCCAGCCTGCTGAGTCAAATGATGACTCGGACAGCGGCCCGGAGACATATTTCCAACGCCGCTTGAGGGCACGCCGTGGCAGGTCCAAGCCCCAGCGGGGTCACAGGCGCCCATCTCCGGACCAACCGGGTGCCAAGGGAGCAAGTCCGGCCGGCCCGGAAAGCCAGGACACGTCGAGCGCAGCCCTCTCGGTCCCGTCCATCTGAGCTTGAACAGAACAGCCGACAGCTTCAGAGACAGGTGGTCACGGATGCGGTTGGACGACCTAGGGCTCCGTATGATGGACTTTCGGCGTCAAGTAACATTGGAAAAAAGGGAGGCACTCTGCTAATAATAAAAAAAAAAAGAAAAAAAAAGACGACCTCACGCGTTGAAGGGCGTCTCAAACGGACGTTCCGCCTGGGGAGTGATCCTAGCCAAATGCCTCCTCTGTCCGTTCTTCCAGTCCACCAACGCAGAATGTTGAGTCACTCTGTTGTCCCACACGACAACAGTGCCCTCCTCCCATTTGACCCTCGCCTGGAAGTCAGCCCCGTAGGCCAGGTGGTCATACAGGAACTTCAGGAGTGCATCCGACTCCTCCTTCTTGAGCCCAACGATCTCTCGTGTGACTGCTCTCCGCATCAGTACAGTCCTCGTGTGTCCCCGGGTTGGGAAGGGCCACTCACACTGCGGGTTGATATACAGTGCCTTTTCTCTTGTCGCCGGATGCGTTCTCACAATAGGGTGAGAATGGTACACCGGCTCTCTTCTCTTGATGCTGCCCCTAGACACGGCAGCGTTCACCTGCTCGATGCCAGAGTGCACCGCCTGTAGTCCGTGCAGCCGCTCTTGGAACAGGGGGCTCAGTCGGTTGTAGGCCTCTACGGCATCTACGAAGAGGGTGTCGCCTCCCGTCTCCGGCTTGTCCAGTATGTACAAGAACGTCGTGCCTGGTGGCTGCGCCTCGTACGAGACGTCCGAGTGCCAGGCGACTGAACTCGTGCGTGTCTCGAAGAACGCCTCGTGGCTCTTGTCACCTTCGGCCCGGTGGACGAGATGGACCTCAGGATGTCCGGCGGGCGAGCCGGACGTGGGGTGGATATGGTGTCGCCCAAAGTACCCGCCCCACTCCAGAGCCTCCTCGATAGGCAGGTCGGCAAAATCCTGCCCACGGAAGGCAACGACCTTGCGCTCTGCCACGAAGCGGGCCAGCTGGTCCTTGCCCGCGCTCGAGAGCTTGGAGAGCTGGACGCCGCGGACTTCGGTCCCGATGGTCGGCGTTAGGTCGACAACCTGTGAGTCCACTGGGAGGAGGTCCTTGAAGGAGGTGTCTGCATCCTTTCCATGTTCGTAGTGCTCAAATGGAGTCAGGGGAGGGTACCGCTGGCTAGGTTCCCATGTGGGAAGGTAGTTGGCATACTACTCATCATTAGGAGAAACATGGTCAGCGTCAGCTAGCTTGTATGAAACGCTGCGCACCCGCCTGCCACGTTGGGCACGGTGCTATGCCAACCAACACTGTTGGAAAAGCATTTCAAAACAAGCTCGAGGCAAGACTAGGTCTGATGCGAACCCCTCACCTTAGCACCTTTGATACCTGCCTTCCTGCCTTCCTCGGCGTCCCTATCGACGTGGTGGGCTTGCAGTTGCTTGTAGTCACCCGTGCCGGAAGTCGTAGAGTGCAGCTTTAGTGGCGGCTGGGTGACCGTGACAGTTTCGGTGGCGGATGGAGCCATGTCTGCGATTATCAATGTACTACTTTTGTCTTTGTACCGTAGTCCGTTTGGAAATCAAAATATCTTTTCCCCCCCTTTCTGGCAGGGTGATCTGTTAGGGAGTTCTGTGGGGGGTGGGGGTGGGAAGAGCCGCCTTTATATATATCGAGCAGGGCAGGTTGATGACCCCATGCGGGGTGTTGGCCATCACCATCGAAGAGGCAGATTGCGCGAGCTGGCTCTCTCCCAAGTGGCCGAGAGCAGGTCTCCGACATCGTTTGAGCATTCAGTCTACTGCAGCAGAACCCACATCCTTTCCAGCGCCAAAGTTCTTCTCGGCGGGCGGTCTTGTGCCTCAATTGACAATAAGATGTGGCTACACCTCGAATGCATGCATGCTATCTTGGTCTTGAATCCATATTTTCCATCCGGCTGTAGATAGTAGATACTCCCTACGGGCCCACGGTCGTGGATGCCCAGCCGGCTCTCGCATCAAGCCCAGGGACTTGTGTACTGTGAGTGGGTGCTTCCATGTTGCTATCATGGGACAATATCACGCAATGCCGCCACTAGGCTCGGCACCAATAGAGCTGGTTGGAGGGTTGTTGTCAATGAGATCACACAATGCTGCATACGGGCCCACACGCCCCCAGTATAGTTTCCGGCCAAGGAGGAATTTATATTAGTCTAATATATTAATACTTAGTATTAACTTTAATATTAAAGAAATATTTTAACTAATAGTAGAAAAAAAATAAATTATTAATATTTATAAAGTTTATATTTTATATTTAATTATATTAATATTATTAATTATATTAATTATATTAATATTATTAATATTATTAATATTATTAATATTGTTAATATTATTTTATAAAGTAATAAATTATATATTTAATTATCTTTCTTTTAAATATAAAAATTAAAAAACTTTAATTATATTATATTTTTTTTTAATATTATATAATTATTTATTTTTATTTTAAAATTTATGTATTAAGTTTTAATAACTCTTTATATATTTTTATAGTTTTTATAAAAACTTTAATTTTTAATTTTTATTATATATTTTTAATTAAATAAATTTATTATATTTTCTTTTAGTTTTTATAATTTATTTTTAAAATTTATTTTAAAGATTTTAATATTTTATTATAAAGTCTTTTAAAAATATATTATAAATTTATTTTTTAAACTTTTTTAAAATTAATAATTATATATTTAAATAAAGGTTATAATATTAAACTTTATAATTTTAATAAATATATTATTAAAATATATATATATATATATATATATAAATTTTTAATTAAAATTCTTTTAATATAATATATTTATATAATAATTAATTTAAAGTTTAATTTTATTATTTAATTTTTATAATAACTTATTTATAATTTATTTTTATTTATAATTTTAATTAATATTATTTAATTTTATATATATATTATTAAATTTCTTTTAATATAAAGTTAAAAGATTTATAATTATAATTTTTAATTAATTTTTATTTAATTAATTCTTTTATAATAATTTAATTTAATTTAATTTAAATCTTTTTTAAGTTATATAAAAGTTTTTATTTTTATAAATTATTAATATTTTTAATTTTATTATTAAGTTAAAAATAAATAAATAAAATCTTAAAGAAATAAAATATAATATATTTTTAAAAATTAATTTAATTAAGTTTATTATATAAAACTTTTATAATAACTTTATAATTTATATTTATAATATTATTTATTATTAAAAATATATTTTTATATTAATATATTAAGTTATATTAATTTAAATTAATATTATTAACTTTAATATAAATTAATTATATTAATTAATTTAAAAGAGAGTATTTTTAATATTTCTTTATAATAATAAAATATATATTTATTAAAGATTAAAATTATTATAAATTATAAATTATTTAATTTAATATTAATAAGTATTATATATAAGTATTAAATTTATTATATAATTTAAATAAATTAATTAAAATAAATAAAAATAAAGCTATTATTTCTTTAAAAGTTTTAACTTTATTTAAATAAATATTTATTTAGTAAATTTAAAAGACTATTAGTTTTATTATATTATAAATAAAACTATTTAAAAGTAATTATTTAATTTATTATATTATTAAATTAAAAATAATTAATTAAAGTAATTATACTTTATTATTATTTTAAATTTATAATTTTAATAACTTATAAATAAAAAATAATTATTAATAATTAAATTTATAATTATATAAAGGTAAATCTTTACTTTAAAAGTTATTAATATTTAAAATAATTAATATATTTTTAAAAAGTTAAGGAATTATAAGTTTAATTTAAAGGAAATTAAAATTTATAAGAATTTTAAATTTAAGTTTAAAGTTTTTATTTTTATAAATATAAACTTTAAATTAAAATTTTAAGTTTAAGTTTAAAATTTTTATAAATTTTAATTTTTTTAAATTAAGTTTATAATTTTTAATTTTTAAAATATATTAATTATTTTAAATATTAATAACTTTTCTTTAAAATAAAGATTTATTTTTATATAATTATAAATTTAATTATTAATAGTTATTTTTAATTATAATAAAATTATTAAAACTATAAATTTAAATATTATATATAATAATAAAATATAATTACTTTATTTATAATATAATAAAGTTAATAGTCTTTTAAGTTTATTAAATAAATATTTATTTATAAAGTAAAGTTAAAACTTTAATTAAAAAAATAGTTTTATCTTTATTTATTTTAATTAATTTATATTTAAATTATATAATAACTTTATATATAATATTTAATAATATTAAAATTAAATAGTTTATAATTTATAATAATTTTAATTTTTAATAAATTAATTTATATTAAAATTAATAATATTAATTTAAATTAATATAATTTAATATATTAATATAAAAGATATTTTTAATAATAAATAATATTATAAATAATTATAAAGTTATTATAAAAGTTTTATATAATAAATTTAATTAAATTAATTTTTAAAAATATATTATATTTTATTTTTAAAACTTTAATTATTTATTTATAATTTAATAATAAAATTAAAATAATATAAATAATTTATAATTTATATATTATTAAATTAAAATTATAAATATTTATTATATTATAAATATTATTATTAATATTATATTCTTTTTAAATATTAAATTTTAAATACTTATTATTATATAAAAGTAATATATATATTTTTAAATATATATAAAGAGAAAGTAGAACTATATATAAAAATTTATAATTAATAATTTATTAAAACTATTAAGACATTATTTTATCAACACTCAACTAATAATATTACCTTATAGCACACTTGTGACTAGGTATAAACACTTTCCGTGATCTGATTCACTTGCAGCCCGGTCTCTGCCATGTTTGCATCCTTCAAAAACTGCAGGGGCATCCATACAAGATGTCCCTTGACCTTGTCCAACTTCTTGCGTATCTCAATAGGGTCCTGCATCCGGTCGAAGATGTGGCCCGCTTTGACACCCTTTGGTGGCAAGAAAAGATCATAGTCCTCAAATGTTTTGACTGCCTGCGAGTTAGCTTTTGCCACCGTGTGTGTTTCAACGGGTTGTTAATTTATTAAGGGTCAGGTTTACCGTGGTCATCAGGATCAGCATGGAAGAGTTGCTGGAAGATCTTGGTGTTCACCGTTGCCCGCTCCGTCCACATCTCCCAAAGCTTATCGCTCAAGGGATCCTCGACGAACTTGTAGCTCTCGGCTGCTTCACCCTGGTCCCAGATGTCGTTCATTGTGTCCTCGCCCGGTGGTCGTGCGTTCAGATCGTCGGTCGCGTCATTGATTTGCGGTGGTAGGAGCCCCAGGTGCTCCCTCCACAGATATCTCCGCAGCGTTGCCGCGTGATACCCCGCCTCGAAGTCCTTACCGTCCATGACGGATGGGATGCGGTTTGTGTCCTCCATGACGATGCTGAGCTCGCTGTCGTGATATCCCAGCTGGCTGCGGTCATTGAGGTTGCTCGACCCGCACACCACGATGCGGTCGTCCACAATGAGGAGCTTGGCGTGGATGTATAGTTCCTCCTGGATCCAGTTGTTGACCTCATCTTCCTCGTCGCCCTCCCAGGCCTCGCCAAGGAGCTTGCCTGTGTTTGACATGGCGCAATGGGCCACACTAGCGGAAGACTTGGACTCACCCTGGCCCTCCTGCATAGCGTCTGCAAACCGCCTTTTCACGTCCTCGCTGTGCTCCTCACCCACGGGCTTTTGCTCCTCGGCCTTGAGCCGTGCCTTTTCCTCGGCACGGGACCTGAGGGACCCGCCAATACCCTTCTGGTCCATGTGGGTATCCGCTTCGCCATGCACATCCGTCGAGCCGTGGATGCCAGACCCCATGATCTCCTCAGCCTCTGCACGCTGGACATCCTGGTACTTGACACCTGACTGTTCCTCCTGCTTCTTGACCGCGGGGGTCACGTTGATCCGGTCGTAGCTTCGAAGATTGAAGAGAAAGATGTGCTGCGTGGGGTCCACACCCTCCTTGCGGACCTGCTCGAAAATGGAATGTTCACCACGGCAGATAGACTTGTACTGATAGTCCATGATGGCACGTGTGCCGATAGCAGCGTCATCGCGGAGATCGCCAGCGAACCCTGGGATAGCAGGAATCATGATGATGACGCGGAACTTGCGGTTCTCCTTTCCGGCACGGACGACAGCATCCACTATGGCGCGGCCGACGGTGTTGTGGATCGGAGCCTGCTGGTCACCGGTGGCGGTGATGAAGAACTGGTTCTCTATGTATACGTAATGCTCTGCAGAGCGTATGATATCCGAATACGCGTTCTGGATGGAGTGGTCCGTCAGGATACCGCTTGACCAATCAGCACTCGAGCGAACGACCTGAGCATGGATCGAGCCCCTGTTGTCGAGGTTTTTGGTTTCCATCGGAGAGGGAGGGTGGAGCACGTAATCGCCGACAGGATGCTTGGGCCGCTGCACGCCGACGAGGTCCTCGTCCTCGCCCTGGCGGCCCCGTAATTCCAGCCAGTCAAAACGCTCGTCACGCTTGTACTTGTCGCGCTTCACAAAGTTCCAGCGCAGGACGAAGTGCTCGGCGATATCGTAGACACAGGGCCCGATCAGGCCCATGGCGACGTCGTGCCATGGCATGCGGCCGTATTCGGCCTTGCTGACCTCGTTCTGCTTCCAGTCGTCGACGTTCTTGAAGTCCATGACACGGTTGTTGTTGAAATCCTGGCCGGGCCAGACCTCGTGCTGGATGCCCTCGGGGTGCAGGTCGGACAGCTGGTGCTGATGGTTGTCCCAGCGGCCAAAGCACAGGTCCAGACCTCCGATGAAAGCCATCTCGTAGTCGATTACGAGGAACTTTTCATGGTGGGCCCAGTAGAAGGTCATGTCGGCGGCATTCTCGAAAACATTGTGGTCGGGATGGCGCATGATCCTGATGTTGCCGTAGCCGGGGGAGCCCTCGGGACACAGGGCCTGTAGGGCATGCTTGGTGTGGGCCGAGTTGCAGGTTATGGCGGCCTCGACCTCTCGATAGACGACGATGTAGATCTGGACACCAGCCTCGGCGCGGCGCTTGAGGATCTGGTCCAGCCTGAACTCCTGGTTGTAATATGGAGGCCTGCGCATGAACAGCTCAGGGGACAGCCACCAGTCCTCTATGTAGATGACCTCCCTGGCCTTTTCCAGGGCCTCTGACACGGCCCAGAAGTAGTCTCGGCCGTCCACATACCACTTGATCAGGTTGCCGTCCCGCTCGGGGAAGAAGGACTTGAAACGGTGAGACTCGCATATCCTCGTGCGCTTCTCATCGCAGGCCTTCTCATGCTCCTCGTCATGACGGTGCTGGGGATTGAACTATTTCCAGAGAGGTTGGTCAATGTTAATCATTCATTGCCTTGCTTACGTTTTCTTGTCTTTTCGACTTTTGCCAAGAGAACTCCAAGCAGACTACTAGTGGTGCTCGGAAAGTTTTTTCTCCTTGGTTGGCACAGTGGGGCAGGGTAGAGAAGGGGACTTTTGGTGCGCACCAAGTTTGCAAATTTCCCAATCTGATGTCTGTGGATGGTGTCGTGTCAGCACAAGTAGGGGGAAGAGAGCACAGGGGAGCAGGCGCACTTCTTGTGGATCAAGCCGACCTTGAGGCTGTGGAGGTGAGTGCCCTCGAGCTTCTCCTTGATCTCGTGGAAGGGGTGCTTGATCTTGTCCTTGAGGCTGCCACCATCATCATCATCATGGCTGTCGTGCTTGACCCCGTTGCCGTGGGGTTGATGAGGATGAGACATGGCCAGGGCGGGGGCGGAGCGGGGAGGGGGAAGGGGAAATGCAAAGGTTGATGGGGAGCGAGCAGAAGCGTGGACGGGTTGCCCGTATAATATGTAGCAGGCGGTTCAGAGGACTGGGGGTTCTATTTGCCAACTCGAATTGGATGCAGAGCAGTGCAGTCATGGACAGACAGATTACCTCGTCGTGTCGTGCCGTGCCGTGCCGTGCCGTGGGCGTGTTGGACGTAGTTTTGGGGGGGGGGGGCATTGGCAGGGGCATCTGTCAGCCTGTCACGGTAGCAGAGGCAATGTAGTGCATGTAACAACAGCCTTGGAATATTGTACCACTCGTGCCTGAAACCGGGTTTTTCTCCCTCTCTTCTTCTCGGGCCCAGCTCGAGACCAAGGTCAAATGTCAGGCCAGCACAGTAGGTGCCGAGGCAAGCGATGACGTCGGCCTGCCCTGAGCAAGGGGCCGGTGCCAGGCTGGTGCTGGTCTCGAGTGTTGGCTGGTCTCAAGTGCTGCTGCTATACCTGAGGTACATATACTACATAGTACAACTGACCCATTGGATACCTGGCTGCTCGTGCCTGTCCTTGGCGCTCGTCATCACGGCTACGGCACCGGCGCACCGCCCACGCCATTATGTGTTGGACCAGATCAGATCAGATAACCTTGGAATGCAGCCGGGCATTCAGGGGCAGCCGTCTTTGACGCAACCCTCACCGTCTGTCTCGGGCGACTAACATCCCCTCACCTGCCGCCACGCCCGCCCATGTTAACGACCCCACCTTCCACAACGGGCACACAGTCCCCGGCCCCAAATTGGGGAGGGGCAGCTCCAACTGTGTCGAGTCGGGACGCGCATGGCCCAGCTACACAGTACTCCGTACTCCGAGCATCCAATGCATTGACGAGCTGGACAACTGCCATGTGGCTCTAACAACTCCCGCACCGGGCATTGACAACACACCGCAACACACCTCAACACATCTCAACCACATCTCTTGTCTCGTGTCCTCCTCACCCCCATCCTCCTCCTCCTCCTCCTCCTCCTCCTCCTCCTAACAACCAACCAAGACGTCGTCGACTCAACACCACAACCGCCGCCACCATGTCTGCTCCCGTCATCCCCCCCGGTGGTACCTTCTTCGATGCCAACACCTTCAAGCGCTCCTTCGTCGACGTCCCCGTCGACGCCGACAAGAACAATGCCATTGCCACCAAGGAGTTCATTGAGGCTGCTGAGTCTCTGACTCCCATCTTCGGCACGACCCCCCCCCACCGCCAGCCCATCCATCCTCGCTCCCTGAAGCTAACAGCAGCCCGCCTGCCAGACCTCCTCGGCCCCACCACCTTCTCCCTCGTCAAGAACGACATGAACGGCAACATCACCGTACGCCCTGCAACCTCTCCCCGTGTCCCAATCGGGTACACGCCCCAGTGCTAACCCCGGTGCTAACCCCGGTGCTAACCCCCCACCCCCTCCCCCAGAAAATACAGCAGCGCTACACAGAGGCCGCCGCAGAGTCCGCCACCCTGCAGGAGCTCGTCGTCAACGAGCTCAAGTCCAAGAAGCACGTTGCAACCGAGGGTCTCTTATGGCTGACCCGGTGCGTCTTTTCTTCCCGCCGCCCCCATGCCCGTCCATCTCGTTGCTGACACAAGCCTCGGCCGGAAACAGAGGACTCGAGTTCATGTGCCTCGCCCTCAACGCCAATGTCAACAACAAGACGGAAGAGCTCGCCACCTCCTTCCGCAACGCCTACGGAAACACCCTCAAGCCCCACCACAGCTTCGTGGTCAAGCCGCTCTTCAGTGCCGCCATGAGCGCCTGCCCCGCTCGCAACGACTTCTACAAGAAGCTGGGAGACGACGAGGCAAAGGTAAACGAGCTCATGCAGCAGTACCTTGGCGCCCTGGACAAGATCGTCGGCATCCTGAAGGCATTTGTCAACAGTAAGGAGGCAAAGTGGTAGAAAGACTCCAATGCCCCACCCACCCATGTCTTTCGCCTGCGGGCCAAGGAGGATGACTGTGTTGCTGCTCAGGGAAACAAGGGAGACTCCATTGTATGGCCAGCCGCGATATCACGGCCTGGGGACCACCCTCGGCTGAATCTATAAGCACATCCTCGTCCTAACTCGCCTAGCTATGGCACCACGACGTATCCCTGCCCGGGCCTTATGACCTATGCCACATGTTGAGATAGCCATGATCAGAGGCTGTCATGGCCATACTCCCGCCTCGCCACCCTTTCACATAGCAACTTGAGCGTGTCGCCAGCCCACTCGAAATCGTCCATGTCCAAGTATACTTGAGCGCTCAAGCGCGCCCAGAACCTTCCCGCGTGGTAGAACAGCGGGATGAAGGTCTGGTAGTCATCCACAAGGACCTTTGTCATCCAGGACCAAGCCTTCTGGGCGTCCTCGCGCGGGATTGCGATATCCTCGGCTCTCCTCCGTGCTTGGGACTGTTGCGTGTCCGATCCCGGCGTTTTTGGCTGTGCTGCGGCATCCTGGTCATCGGCCCGCCCTGCTTCGGCCTCATCTACCCTGTTCACCGGGCTGGCGGAGCCGTGAACAATGGGCACGACAACGAGCGGCATCGCGACGTTGACCATCGCACAATGCTCATGGCGGTCCTTCCCGTTCTCACGCCCGAGAACCCACGTCTTCAGCTTCTCCGAGACGCTGGCTCCGCCTTCGGATGCCAGTGAGCGCATGTATTCCTGAATCCTCGCCTCCCCGCCCAGGACCTTCTCACGAAACTCGAGAGCGTCCTTGACACACAAGTACGGAGAGTTGTCCAGAGTACCGACATACTCGAAGGCGTTCACAAAGACGCTCTTCGCGCTTGGCGGAGGCGCATTCGTTCTCGGTGTCGCGCCGGGTGGTGATATGTAACCATGCGAAGTTGGCACAGTCGAGCGAATGAGGTGCTGGTTGCGACGGGGCACGTAGAACACGGCACACCCGCGAGGCACTAGGAGCCACTTGTGACAGTTCGATACAAAGAAGTCTGGGTCCAGGGTGGTCATGTCCAACTCCAACATGCCAATACCTTGGGCACCGTCGACTATCGACAGAATTCCCAGCTCGCGGCACACACGAACCATTTCTTGATAGGGAAAACACACACCCGGCACCGAGGAAACGACATCAAAGACTGCGGCGCGAGGTCTCTTGAGCTGGCGGCTTTCCTGGACAGCGTGCCTGAACTTGGCGATGATGGCCTCGTCCGATATGGGGTATGTCAGCTCGACGGACCTGCTAGAAACCCTTCCGTATGTCGAGTCGACGACATAGTCTACCGTCTTGCTGATGCCGCCGTAGATGGTAGAAAAGTGCAGTATCTCGTCCAGCCCGTCATCAGACCAGGACAAGTTGCGCAGGACTTGTGGGCGTGTGACAAAGAGGCGTCAGCTCAGGGCCTTCAGTAAAGGGCCTAACAGGCCGCCGTGAGACTGACCTGTGTTGAGCCCGACAGTGGCATTAGCCACGAAGACGACTTCATCTGTATAGGGCGCATTTATGAGTCTGGCAGCGGCCTCGCGGTTCTCATCCAGGAGTGCAGGGAAGTCATAACGGATGAACTGGTCAGGGCGGCGCTCGTGGAGATTCTGGTAATGCCGCAGCCTGTTCTGAATGTGCACGGGGATCGTCCCAAAGGAGGCGTGGTTCAAGTTGCGATAGTCCCGATCGAAGAGAAAGTCGCTGTCCCGGAGGCTCTTGCCGAAATCCAGGGGTAGTCTTCTTTGTTGGCCTACATCTTGTTCTTTCCCTCCCACGCTTGACTGTGAGCCTTGCTTTCGGGCGGCTGGTGTTCGCGTCATTCTGAGCGTAGATGTGGTGGACAATGCGGGTATGCGGGCTTCACAACCGTAGTGTTGTTAGGCAGACATTATCATCCAGTCCCGTTGGACAACAACAGCTCGAGATGCGGGTAGACCCGAGCCCACTGATGATGTTGGGCCGCCCGGCCCGGGACCGGACCGGAGATCAAAACAGTGGAATCCGCGAAGGTCATCCTCCTACCATCGCAACCACCCCTGTCTCTCGGTCTAAGTTTTCTTGCTCGTGTTGCGGAGTGCATCTGGGCAACGCAGATCGGAACCTAACTCGAAAAGTCGACGCTTCTGAACGAGCTTATAGGAGTTGTTGAAGGGCGGATTGGCTCTGTTGTAAATGTGTCTTCTAAATTGTACAGCCAAGCCGGGTAGGGAACACTTGCCGGGCGAGATCCGTAATGGTCAAGTAAGCTATGCACACGACGAACGCCACGCCGTCACCCTGTCTGCTTGTGCAAGGTGACGGGCATACCTGGCGGGGCATGCCGAGGATCTGCCATGTTACCAGGCTTCGGAACCAAGATATAGTGGCCAAGGAATTAACCAAGGGCTATGCGGGCCGACATCTATTTTCCAAGGCATTGGCGTGCCCAGCCCGGGAAGAGTTTCTCCAGCTTGGGACCAGTAGGGTGGGTCACAGCAGTCACTGTCTGCAAACCTCCACACTCTAGGTTCACACTACATTTAACTAACTACTCTCCTTTAACCATTTTCACTCTAAGACTTAGATTAATAATAAGATTATAAAAAAAGTATATAATAAAATTAATTTTTAAAATAAAACTTATAATAATAAATATAATAAAATATTTTTATATATATTTTTTAATTTTTAAAAGTTTAAAATTATATAATATTAATTAATAATAATTAATATAAATATATTTTATAACTTTTACTTAAAATTAATATTATTATTTTATTATATTAAAAATATAATATTATTATAATTTTTATAAGTTATTTATATATTTTTAATTTTATTAATAAATTAAAATAAATAAATAAAATTTTTAGAAAATAAAATAAAAACATTTTTAAAATTAATTTTATTAAATTTATTACATAAACTTTTATAATAACTTTATAATAATTTATTAAATTATTTATTATTATAAATTATTTTCTTATATTAGTATATTAAATTATATTTAAAACTATAATAAACGAAATATAATTTAAAATATTACTTTTAATTACTTATAACTTTATATATATTAATACTAACTATAAAATTATATTATAAACTTTAAGTAAATTTAAATTTAATATTTATATATAATTTTATTTTAAAGTTAAAAGTAAAATAAGAGAGTAAATATAAAAGTATAAAATTTAATTTTTATAAAATTAAAAATATAAAACAGTCTCTACTTTTAATCTTTATAAATAAAGTTATATAATACTTTAATTTTAAAAGAATATATTATTATATAAAGCTTTAAAAGTTTTATTTAATAATATTATCTTTAAAAGAATATATAATTTTTAATATAATATTTTTATTATAAAAGATATATTTTATATATTTTAAAATTATATTTTATTATTATAACTTTAATTATATTTAATAAGTTAAATATAAATTAATTTAATAAAATTTAAAGTTATTCATAAATTATAAATTATTTTATTAAATATTAATAAATATTATATAAAACTATTAAGTTTATTATATAATTAAAATAAATTTAAATAAATAAATAAAAATAAAGTTATTAATATTTAAAATAATTAATATATTTTTAAAGTATTAAAATAATAGAAATTTAATTTAAAATATATTAAAATATTTATTTTAAATTTAAAAATTTTAATTTAAAGTTTAATTAAATAAAAGTTAATTATAAAATTATAATTATAAATATTTTAATTTTATATTTAAAAAAGAAAAATAATATATATAATAATTAAAATAAATATAATAAATATAATAAATAATAATAATAATAATAACTATTATAAATATCTTATTAAGTGTGCTTATTGTACCTATTTAACCATTTTAGCCGGACATGGTTATATCTAAGCCTAATGGGGCCTTAACCACCGCCCGATTTCCTCCTCCCCAACCCCGAGCACCCTGGCACACAACCAATAGGAGCCATGACGCCGACAAACGGGACAAACCTGACCTTGGCGCATCCACCAGAGTATACCTTCCGCGGTACCTATTTCGCCAGGGACAAGATGTGATCATCCCTGGCAGCTTGATTACGGGTGAATGGCCCTAGGCGGGTAGGTCGTAGCGATTTAGGACGGGAGAGCAGCTGACTTCTGCGACTTGGCTGCTGTCTGGTCATTTAGCCATCCAAATATAAACGTGACGGGTGACTGCCTTCCTGTTCGCGCGTCATACCACCTCGTCTCGATCAAGGGGCCCCAAAGGGATCCGCAGACACCGCACCGCACCTTGAACAGCTATAGCATATCTTGAAGTCTCTCTTTTCTCTTCACCGGACCGCAGACAGCTTCTCTGCAATGCTACTGAATCTGTGCCTCGCCGCGACCTTCGGGTTGTCGTTGACATCGCCCGTTCTCGCTCAAACCTTTGACTGGGCCACGGCGTATGCCAAAGCAAATGCCTCGCTCGCCAAACTGTCGTTGCAAGATAAGGTGAATATTGTCACTGGCGTGGGCTGGGACAAGGGGCCGTGCGTTGGAAACACTCAGGCTATCTCCTCCATCGGTTACCCTCAGTTGTGCCTTCAGGACAGCCCCTTGGGAATTCGGTTTGGAAAGGCCTCCACCGCTTTCACCCCCGGCATACAAGCTGCTTCAACCTGGGACATCGACCTGATTCGCCAACGAGGCCAGTTCATGGGAGCCGAGGCGAAGGCGGCTGGTATTCATGTCCAACTTGGCCCTGTCGCCGGGCCCTTGGGCAAAATCGCACAAGGTGGAAGAAATTGGGAAGGGTTTGGGCCAGACCCTTACTTGACTGGCATCGCCATGGCCGAGACCATTGAAGGGATGCAAGGCTCAGGTGTCCAGGCTACCGCAAAGGTCAGTCCTTGGCTATTGGGAATTGTTTTCGCTTTCTGGATGACATGATCGCCTTCATCACATCTCATTTCTCTACCGCCAGACGCATCCAATATCTGGTTTCGCTTCTATTCCGCATACTTCCGAGGACATACATCGCGCCTCCATACGATGACGCTTTCGATATACCCGGTAGTCCACAGCTCTTTGAGGACTGCTCAAATCCCCACCCGGGCTTGACTGCGGTATTCAGGCGAACCTTCTCGGAACCCTGAATCACGGCATTACATCCTCACTTGGTATGGAAACAAGCTGACTTGGATCTGATAGCATTATATCTTGAATGAGCAAGAGAAGAACCGCGAGACAATGTCTAGTCGCGTTGATGACAGGACCATGCATGAGCTATATCTTTGGCCGTTCGCAGACTCTGTCAGAAGTGGCGTCAGTAGCGTTATGTGCAGTTATAATAAGATTAACGGTCAGTCTTCCTCATTAAACCTTTCCTCTTCTCTGTTGTGGATAGCTGGACTGCACTATTCTATGCTCTACGGGCTGCTTGGCCTAAAAGCTATACTGTGCGTGAATTTCTCGAATTCGGGCTCGCTTCGACGTTGGTCACATCAAACGTGGTGCTCAGTAGCCTAGGTTATAAACCATGATACATAGTCCATATGAACTGGACTGTGCAAATCACTTTCAAATTCTTCCAGGACAATATTAACACGCAATAGGTACTTGGGCATGTGAAAATGACAACGCGTTGAACAAGCTGTTGAAACAGGAACTCGGGTTTCAGGGCTACATCATGACTGATTGGAACGCCCAGCACTCGACTGTTCAGGCTGCCAACACAGGCCTCGACATGACAATGCCTGGGTCGGATTTCAACGGGGGCACTATCCTTTGGGGACCAGAGCTTACTAAAGCAGTAAACAATGGACAGGTAACCCAGAGCCGTGTGGACGACATGGTCAGACGTATTTTGGCCGCGTGGTATCTCGTGGGTCAGGATACTGGGTACCCCCCCATAAACATCCAGGCCAGCGTCCAGGGTGACCACAGGACTAACGTGCGAGCCGTTGCGAGGGATGGGATTGTGCTCTTAAAGAACACCGGCTCCATCCTCCCACTCAAGAAGCCAACGAAGCTCGCCCTCATTGGCTCCGCAGCTGTCGTTAATCCATCCGGGGCCAATGCTTGCACAGATCGGGGCTGCAACACTGGAAGTCTCGGAATGGGCTGGGGAAGCGGGACATCCGAATATCCCTATCTATCGGCACCGTACGACGCACTGAAGACCAGAACTTCAGCCGACGGCACGACTTTGAGTCTCAGCAGTAGTGATAGTACGGGCAATGTGGCCAGCACGGTATCCGGTGCTGATGCTGCCATTGTGGTTATCACTTCGGATTCTGGTGAAGGATACATTACCGTCGAAGGGAATGCCGGGGACAGAAACAATCTTGATCCCTGGGTAAGTTTGATTCTATATCCACTTAAATAAGCTTGGGAAGCACCCGGTTCCATGCCTATAAAAGCCCACATGGGGATCGACCTTTGTTGACGAAGCACACAGCACAATGGTAATGCCCTTGTCCAGGCAGTGGCAGCAGCCAACAAGAATACCATCGTGGTGGTCCAGAGCGTTGGCCCAGTCATACTTGAAAGCATCCTAGCACTAGACGGTGTCAAAGCAGTTGTGTGGGCAGGACTGGGTAGTCAAGAAAGTGGCAATGCGCTCGTTGATATCCTTTACGGCTCCACCAACCCCAATGGAAAGCTCCCCTGTAAGTGTTACTCTGCATTGGCCCTGGCCTTTTCTACATCGAAATAACGTCAGAGAACATGATCTAGTAGACTTATTGGTCTAAGGAAAGTATTGATTTATTGATTAATTCTAGACACTATCGCCAAGTCGGCCACAGACTACGGAACATCTGTAACTTCCGGGGACGACTCATTTCCCGAGGGTCTATACATCGACTATCGCCACTTTGACCAAGCCAATATTGCACCTAGATACGAGTTTGGATATGGACTCTGTATGTGACCATTCACGCACATATCGACAAGTCTTGTGTGTTTTACTGACAATGACCTCAATTGGAAGCTTACACGAACTTTTCCTATTCCAAATTGTCGGTCACATCGACAGCGGTATCAGGCCCTGCGACTGGACCCGTTGCACCGGGTGGGCGAAGCGACCTGTTCCAGGATCTTGCCACCGTGACAGCAACAATTACCAATAGTGGCTCCGTGGCTGGCGCTGAGGTTCCCCAGCTTTATCTAACTCTACCGTCTGGTGCACCTGCTGCTCCACCGAAACAGCTCCGCGGCTTTACCAAGCTGTCCCTCCAGCCGGGTGCGAGCGGCACTGCAACTTTCAATCTACGGAGGAGAGACCTAAGCTACTGGGACGTCAGAAGCCAAAATTGGATCGTGCCAAAAGGGAACTTTGGTATCAGTGTTGGGGCTTCGAGCCGAGATGTGAGGTTGAACGGCAGTATCGTCGTGTCATGAAGGCAACCTTGGAACTTATGAGCATGACGCACTAATCACACTTCACTGATCGGCTTCAAGCTGTCTCAGCAGGAAGGAGTGTATATTAGTAGACGGGGCTTCGGCGACACTATATTCTTCCCATCTACTATCTATCAATCTACCTAGCTATGAGGCTCTTACTTAGTAGCCTATTACGACTACTTTGGCGGCGTTATAGCCAACACCACCGTCAAGACGGTCCCCTTAACCTAGTCGATACATCACAAGGCTAACCCTAGTCTACATCCACCTATTATATTTGCACCACTGTTACTAACACTGTTCTTTCTGAAACACTGGATCTTGTGTGTTTACTACCGTATAAGGGCGCTATATATGTCCTCGGACGTATACGGAATAGAAGCGAAACCACATATGTCCTCGGACGTAGGGTATACGGAATAGAAGCGAAACTAGTCAGCGAGTGATTCTAAGGACAGGACGCCTTTCCTAATATATCCCTCAACGCCTCCTGTATCCAGTTCGGCCAGCCCCTGATTCCAGTGACAACATTCAATCTTGCCGGCAACACAAGTTGACCACCCCTTCCGCTGAATATCTGGTTCAACACCGGCTTGGAAATATCTTCGACTGACATCATCTTCTGTGTCTTCTCAATCTTCTCCGCATGAGGTGCCGTCATGGCCGTGCGCACAAAATTTGGATGCACAACGCTAGTTTTGACACCGCGCGCTTTGTACAAGTGCTTGATCTCACACGCCAGTCCTTCATGGAAAGCCAGCGCCCCAGCCTTGGTGGCGCTATACTCGATGCTCATTGGCAGTGCTACGAAGCTTGCCAAACTCGCAATCGTTACGATATGTCCTTTGTTGTTTGCGATCATTTTGGGCAAGAATTGTTTTGTAGTGAACCACTGTGCCATAAGGTTGACTTCGAGAACTTGGCGTAGAGACTGCTCTGAAATGTCAAGTATGGAGTTGAAACGTGCAATACCTGCGTTGTTGATCAAGATAGTTGGGTCACCGCCCATGCCCTTGCGTATAGCGTCGGCCGTTTCGGCCACTTGCTGCGATGAGCTGACATCGCACTTGAAGAAGGTAACCTTCGGGATGGATTTTATGGCTGGCGGCGGGCCACTGACGTCCAGGACGGCAACTCTGACACCCTTAGCCGCAAGTCCCTCCACCAATGCCTGACCGATTCCGTTGCAACCTCCTGTCACGACAGCGATTTCCTTCGGCCAGTCCCATAGCCCAGTCGGAAGCGAGGAAGACGCTCGCCAGTTGTTAGTCGCCAGGGAGTTGAGAGCCTTGTTTAGCGCCCTTGCTATGCTGAGCCCAATTAACGCTTTCAGGATGGGCCGGATGAGGCGGGTGCAAGTGGGTTGGGCGACATCAAGGCCAGTGTATTGTTGCATAAGCTCTGCGGGTGTTGAGAGAAGGGCCGCAAGGAGGGCCACTGGAGTGACGGTCCGCACTATTCCCGCCATAATTTCCGCACAATGAATGGTGTCGTTGCCAGGTGCACGCGGTATTGCAGGACCGGTGCGACTTCAAGCGATTTTTCAACAGTCAAGAGCCACAAACTGATCATTGAATCACGACTAGAACTGGGCGTGCAATGCGGATGGCACAAGAGATCTTCGAGTCTTGGTCGTGTGCATTATAGGCCAACGGTGGCACGCCATCCAAGTTTATGTTGATGGTCAATTGCCACAAGCCTCGGCTGGGTACTTACCTAGGTAGCCGAATATCACATGCACGCACGTTAGGGAGGTTTCAGGTACGGCGGGTCCGAGTGATCACTATTTGTAAACCGTAACTTAGTAAGTAGTTACCTAGGCACCATACCTACCCCATTTCCTTAAAGCTATTCAAAACTAACCTAATAGAATATAAATTTAACTAATCACATATGTAAAGTTTTTATATACATATAATACTTAAAGGTTTTCATCTTTATATACCTCTATTAATGCCCTCTTGTATTGCTATAGATAATTAAAGAACTTGATTACTAATGGCCGGGTCAATTAGCTATCAGCTGATAACACTTTATGCCGCATTAGCTTCTGCGCCTGCTGCACGATCAGACTGTTCTGTCCGCCCAACCACGTAGGTATATTCTACCTGTTCAAGTCTTCAGGTCTCATAGGCTAGATACAAACCTCTCTGGACGCTGTCAACTAGGCTTTACCGAAATCTTAACTACTATGCAGACCTCACCTGCCAAGTTCGCCGTCGCGGCCTGTATGTGCTTGGCTGTTGGAGCTTTGGCAGATGCAGCCAGGAAGCCCCAGATCCAGACACTGCCCAGCCTGCGAGAGCAAGCCCGGATTGTTGACGCTTGGACCGAGGAGCGGAAAGCACTTATACCCGGTATACTTCAGAAATACGGCATCGATGCGTGGCTGGTGAGTCTAGCGGTCTGTCCCCGTCGCCTAGCATTTGATGTATATATGATGTGTACGGCGCTGTAAGAACGGTCCATCTAAAGTTGGCACAGATCAGTCAACGCGAATACGCCGAGGATACGGTCTTTTGGGCTTTAAAGGATTACGAGCAATTCTCTGCCAGGCGCCGTACCACTCAGCTTTTCCTCGCCAACGCTACGGGCGACACGGCATCGTCATATCAATGGATCGATAACACCCCTCTGGTTTGGTCTGAGCTCAAGGATGTCCTAGCTGACCAGCAGCCACGCACTATCGCGCTGAACACGCACAGAGAGCTGGCCTTCAGTAGCGGTCTACACGCCGGTGAATTGGCGGCCATTGAGGCTGCCATAGGAGCGGAGTGGACCAACCGTTTCGTGCTCGAGCCAATGATTGCTGTGGAGGTTGTCGCAACCATGGTGAATAGCCGACTCAGTTGGTATCAGAAGTTGATGGAAACAGCATGGGCAATCATCGAGGAGGCTTTCAGCAGCAAGCAAATCATTCCTGGCGAAACGACAACATTGGACCTGGAATGGTGGATGAGAGAGAGGATTCAATCCCTCAATTATACGACTTGGTTCCAGCCAAGCGTTTACATCCTAACCGAAGACGATTGCAGCATGTGTGCTACGTCAAACAACGCCATGTTTCCCGGCGACAGAGACCACGTCATTGAGTATGGTGATATTATCCATACTGATTTTGGCGTGTCTGCCTTGGGCCTCAATACTGACACGCAGCACATGGGCTACGTTTTGCGGACAGGTGAGACGGAGAGAGACATTCCTGACAGTGTCCTCGAGGGCTTGCGGAAAGCGAATCGACTACAGGACATAACAAAGGCTCAAATGCGAATTGGTGCTACAGGAAACGAGATTCTGAGGAACATCCATAAACAGATGGACAAGGAAAACATCCAAGGCAAGATCTACTGCCATGCCACTGGAGAATTTGGCCATAGCGCCGGAACTGTGATTGGTATTTGTCCCCAGCTAGCTCTTGTGGTCATCCGGGTAGCGGTGAATCGACTAAATCAGAGCTGACACAACACGACAGGAATGACCAACCTGCAAGACGGGGTTCCAGGTCTTGGAGATCTTCCCCTGCTGAGAAACACGTACTACAGCATTGAGCTTCTCGCCCAACACTACGTTCCGGAGAAAAATATGACGATCAACTTCCCGTTGGAGGAGGACGTATACTGGCGGGAAGAAACTCAAAGCTGGGAATGGGTATACGGCCGGCAGTCCGAGTACCTCGTTATTAACACCTCCCACATACCCGCAAGCCAGCCACTCGAGCTCTAATATTTTTAAGAAAATAAATATTCTCAACACCGTATGAAGGCGCCATGTATGTCCTCGGACGTATACGGAATAGAAGCGAAACCACATAGACTGCTGGAGTAACCAATTGGACGAATTGGTTATTATTATGGTCTTTTGGCCGAGCGGTCTAATTCGTCAGCAGTAATTAGGACAAACCCGTGTCACCGGCCACTATCGGTATTCTCGGGCGCTATGCCGGCGTTATCCCCCACAATATTCAGAACGGCCTGAACAAGCTTTTCCCGATGAACCTGTGAGACGTTGGAGATTACCTTCAAAGGCTGGCGTCCACGAGGTATGGGGTCACTGTAGTGGTCCGAGGAGCCCAGCCCAGCTGCCCAGCTGCCCAGGTGTAACAATTGGATGCTGTGGGTGACATCGCTTCCGACTGGGAGCATTTCACCTGCCTCGAAAGGCAGGTTATAGTGAATATCATTTAATGGTTTCATGCAAGGCACAAAATACGCTTGCAGCTAGGCGTGCAGCGGGTCGTACTGACTGCCCTCCGCAGATCTCACAACTTGAATTTCTATACTGCTACCCTGCCCAACCAGCCAGCCAGCCAACCAGCCAACCAGCCACGCCTGCCCGCCCCAAAACCTTGCCCGCCCAGTTGCCAGTTGCCAGCTCATCCGGGATCTCTTGGATGAGTTCGTCCCTACCAGACAGCCCTGACAGCCAGACCAGGCAGGCCTACCTTCCCAGCACAAGCCACTTGCGCAGTACTACCCCCCGACGTAACACAAAATAGACATGCTTTATCCGTGCCGCTAATAAAGGTGTTGGAAGGCACGGTCGGGTCTGGCTAACTAAGCCAACTAACACTTATACCCGCTCCTTTTAAGCGCCAGGAGAAATTATAGACTTCTCCCTAATATTAATTAACCAATTATCATTTACTTTAATTACTTATTAGGTTATAAACCTAGCATTACTTAATATATCCTTACTTACTTATTTTTATTAATATCTATTAATTTTAAATTATTTTATACTTAAAAATTATTAAAATATAATTATTATAAGGCTAAACCATTAATATTATTTATACCTTTTAATAAATACTATACTTTTATATAACCTATAATAATTTATTACTCTTACTTTAATTTTTTATACTAATTAATACTAACTTAAAACCATTTAAATTAATTTAAATATTATTTAAAATGCCTAACTTTAATTTTAAGCTTAACCCATTATTATTATTTAAGTTTAATTTAAAAAAAAAATTATTTTAATTAATATACCGCCTAAAACCAAGCTTTTTACTTTATTAGCCTTAATAAAATTATTACTAATATAAAGGCTAAGCCTACCATTAATAAAGCCCTTATAAAATAGTAAAAATAAAATAACTAAACTTTTATTATACTTTTAAATACCATTTATTTTAACCTAATAATATATATTATATTATATAAAAGCTTTTTATTAACTTAAAAAACCTTAAAGGATTATTTTAATTATAATATTAAAAATTTAATTATTTACCTATTTTATTAATTAACTAACTTATATTATAAAAATAGTTTTAACTTATAAAATACCTTAATTTATTTTATTAACTTTAAATAAAACTTTTATTAAAACTTTAATATTTAATTAGTTTATAATAAAATTTATAAAGTTCCTATTTAAAAATAATAAAATTAAAAAATTTTTTTTCCTTATAATATTATTTAATATAATAAATAATATTATTAATAATCTTAATAACTATAAAATTTTAAAGTTTTTTAATATTAAACCTAAAATACTAAATATTATTACTTATTTAAAAGTTAAGTAATTAAAGGCTTATTATACTTTTATTTTTTAAAAAAAGTTAGTACCAACTAGTACTAAAAAGCCTGGAAAATTTACACCATTAAATGCCAACTTTAATTTCTTATTAAAAAAATCTAACAAAAAAAAATATATATAATATTACTTTTATAACTTTACTTTTATTAACTACTTATATATAAATTACAACAAATTAGCAAAATATAAAAAAGAGTAAAAAAAAGAAAAAAAATAAGCTACTACCAACTAGGCAAAAAATAATATAATAAAAATCTTTAATAATAATAAAAAAAATATGGCATTTTATGCTAATATTTTAATATATATAATAAAACTTTTATTATTTAAAAATACAAATAAAATATTATAAATCTTTAATTTAAATACTTTAAAGTATATAATAAAATATATAAAAACTTTAACTTACTTTAACTATATAATAAAATAATTATTATTACTAATAAAATTTATCTTATTATAAAAAATTAATATTATAAACATCCTTTTACAACTCTCTAATAAATTAATTATTAAAAATACTTTTACTAATATATTTTATAATTAAAAACTAAAAATACCTATTTATTTAATTAAATTATAATCTAAAACTAATTTTATTTAAATACTTAAAAACAATATTTTTTATAACTAAAAACAATAAATTAAAGGTAATATAGGTAAAATTTTAAAAAAATTTTAAAATTTAAATTATTAATAATAAAAATATTAAAGCCCTTTTCTTATTATATAAAAATTTTATAAAGCATTTAAATATAGTAATATTAATAAAACCTTTACCTAATAACTATATATTAATATTAATATTATTTTAATAAAATTAAAAACATTTAACTATAAACCTTATAAGCTTATAAAGTCTATTTAATAATATTTAAAACTACTATTAAAATAAAAATTAAAGGTACTATTTAAAATTATTTATTTAAATTTCTTAAAGCACTTTTTAATAAAATTACTAAAAAGTTTTTAATACTTTATACTATTTATTAACAACTTTATAAGATACTATTAGGTCTTTTATTAAAAAAGAACTATATTCCTACAATTATTAAAAACTTTTAGTAATAATAAAAATATAATTTAATATAAAATTAAAATATTTACTTCTAATAATAAAGGTAAATATATTAACAAAACTATAATTAACTTATTTTATTAATAAAAGTTATTTATTAAAAATTCTACTATATTATTATAAATTAAATAAAACACCTAAATAATATATATAAATAATTATTATTAATATTAAAGCTATAATTTATAATAAAATATTTCTTATATTTTAGCCTAAATATATTACATACTTAGTTTACCTTTATAATTATAAATTATATTTAGCACTACTATATTAAATTATATCTTTTAAAATATTATATAAAAAAAAACCTAATATTAAATATTTCTAGCCCTACTTTTATTCTTATTATATTTATATTCCTATAAAAGCTTGCAAGCTAGGAATAAAACTAATAAATTAAGCTAAAAAGGTATATTTTATTAAATTTAAAGCAAATAAAAATTTAATTTTACGCCTATATATATTGCTTTGTAAAATTATTATTACTGCTATAAATAACTATATATAATAAAAGAAATACTAGTTTATAATTATATAATTAATTAGAAATTTAATTAAAGTAGTTGCTAAACTAATAAAATAATCCCTTTAATTAGCTATAAATTTACTTTTTCTACTATCTTTATAATTACCTATAATATTACCTAAACTAGTTATTAAATACTTTTTAAATACTAGTTTAAAAGGCTATTATATATAATTTTCGCAAAAAGTAAAAGCTAATGCTCAATATATAAAAACTAACTTAATACTAATTAATATAAATTTTAATTTTTTTAATTTGGCATTAATTAATATTAATTTTAATTTAAATAACTTAGCACTAATAGGTGCTAACTTTAATAATAATAATTTAAATAATCTAATTATTATAATTACTAAATTCATTATATGTCTATTAGTACCAATTAGTACTAATTATAATAAATTACCTATTATTACTATTATATTTTTAGCAATTTAAAATAATAATATTTCACAAAACTATATATAAGCCTTAAAAAATTCTAAAAAGCCAAACTAGCTTGCTACTATAAAAAAGAAATTATACTCTTTTAAAGTTATAAGGATTTAAATAAAAGTTTCTGCTTATTATAATTAATATATTATTAACCCTTAATAAATATATATAAAAAAATATAATATTAAGGAAATTTTATTTAATATAAGGTCTATTTAGTTGCTTAAAGGTTTATATAAATTTATAAAATTAATTATAATAATACTTATAATTTAGTTGCTTAATATAAAATATTAAAATTATTATTTAAATTGTCTTTATAACTAAAATAAATTTCTAGCAATTTAATATTAAAACTATATATTTTATAAATACCTAAAATATAATATTTATATATATCTACTATTTAAATATTAAATGTTATTTAAAAATATTATATTTAAAGTCCTTTAGGCTTTATATAGCTTAAAGTAATTAAAATAAAATAGTTTAATAAATTATATAATAAACTTATTAAATTTTATAATTAAATTATATTTAATTTATATATTTTTAAATAATAATATTATTATTGCTATTTATATTAATAATATTTTAGTTATTAGTTGTTTTAATAATATTATTAAGTTTAAAGTAATTTTAATAAATTTAAATATATTAATATAGGCTTTTATTAATATTTTTAATTTTAAAATTTATTAAATTAAAGCTGAAATTTCTATTTTTAATAAGGTTATATTAAATATGTACTTTAATAATTTGGTATACTTAATAGTAATAGTTGTTATACTTAATAAATTTAAACTTATTTTTAAAATAAAAAAATGGTAATGTTCCTATTAACTTTATAATATATTAGTTTTTATTAATTTGATAAACTTTTAATAATAAGTATAAAAATTAATCTTGCCTTTTAATAGTTATTATTTTAATATTTAATGCTAATTTAATAAAATAATACCTTGTTATTAATAAGGGTATTCTTTATTATATTAAGTAAACTTTAAATTATTAAATATTTTATCTTTAAAATATTATATTTATAAAGCTTAATATATATAATAATGCCTTATATAATATAAACTTAAATAATTTAAAGGTGTTTAAAGGTTAGGTTTAACTTTTAATAAATTATTTATTATTTGGTTATTAAAATGTTAATTAATAATTGCTAAATTAATTTATAAAGCTAAGTATATAACTTATTTATTTATATTTTTTATTTGTGTTAAATAATTTAGGTATTATAAAATTTAAAAATCTTATATATTAAATATTTATTTATATTTTATATTAATAATTAATTTATATTAAATTTTATTTAAAATGCTAAAATTACTATTTATTTAAAGTATATAGCTGTTTATTATTATTTTGTTTAAAAGGTGTTAAAAGTATTTATAATATTAAATATATTTTATTTATAGAAAATCTTATAAATATTTATATAAAAGCGTTTTTAAAGTCTATATTATTAAGTTTTTATTATTTGTTAGGTTTATTATTTATTTAATTTTAATAAATTTAAAACTTAATATTAATAGGTGTTAATAGAATAGTAAAGGAAAGTTTAATAGTAGGTTTATTAATTTAATAACTAAAATATTATGCTATTTATATATTTTAAATATTTTTTATAATAATAATATTATTAATGGATAGGGGGTATATTAAAAGGTATAATTAGGTTTAGTTAATTAAGCCAATTAATATTTATATTTGCTTTTTTTAAGTGCTGGGAGAGATTGTAAACTTCTTCCTAATATTAATTAACTAACTATTATTTGCTTTAATTACTTATTAAAAGGGAGGTGCCGTGCAACCCTTCCATTCCACTCTTGCAGTCCTGTTAATGGGATGGGAGCCACTCGGCACTCAGATTGTGCCAGGTGCTCCACAACCAGTCTCATGTCACATTGACCATCCCACTATTTCAAGAACAAAGGTGTGACATCTACTTCTATATAGATGGACCAGCGAATCGATCGACACGCAAGGTTCATGCCAAATGTACCCTATAATACTTCTGCAATATGATCAATGTCGGCGAGACAGGCAAATGCTTTCGAGATCCAGAGGAGGAGGGGTTAGGGAGGAAGAAGAACTTTAAAGTGGCTGAGTTCTGGTCACATCCAGTAAAATAGATGATGGCACAATGCAGCCTGATTCGGTCGGCACATGCGCAAGCTGCACCCATGCGCTTTGCGCCCATCTCCCGATAGAGTTTGATTACCTGCTCGCACCTGACCGGAGCGACACCTGTAGGAGAAGCGTTTGTTTGATTGAGAACGTAACGATGCCAGTACGGCCTCGTAGCTAGTTGTCTAATTGTTCCAAGGTTGTACATTATTCTTTCTGACTCCTCAAGCTGGGAGCTGGTGTGACAACTGCATGGTTGGCAGATCTTGCCCACACTGCAGCATAATTTTCCATCCTCACAAGCATACTGAGCTGAGACACGTGTTTGCATGCCCTGAGGTTCGAGAATCAGTCCAACAAACCTGATATCTCCCCCGATCTCCTCTCGCGCCTTCCGACACCATACCTAGGTACCTTTCGGGATCCGAAGTCGGGGTTGTCGAGGCAATCGTTAGTGGTTCAGCATTGGTTTCCCCTGCCACCACTCATTCAACTCCAGCTCTGCAGCAATGTCTTCTACTGTGGCCCTCCTATGTACGGTGACATTGTTGTTAGGAGGCACCGGGTTTGGCACTGCACAGAGTACCTTAACCGACAACTTACAATATGTCCGCCCCCTTATCGGAGCCAGCAATGGTGGAAATGTCTTTCCAGGCGCCTCGCTGCCCTATGGAATGGCGAAAGCCGTGGGAGACACCAATAGCGGCTCGAACCAGGGCGGCTTCACCCTCGATGGCAGCAATATCACTGGCTTCAGTGTCATGCATGATTCGGGCACAGGAGGAAGCCCATCGCTTGGTAATTTTGCACTGTTCCCTTATGCCAGCTGCCCCGATGGAGACATCAACAATTGCGCCTTCCCGAAAAAGTCTCGCGCGCCTTTCGGAGCCTTTAGCAACGACAGCGTGGTAGCCGAACCTGGCTACTTCAGCGTCATCCTCGACTCAGGAATTCATGCCGAGATGACAACGACGCAAAGGACTTCCATTTTCAGGTTCTCTTTTCCGGGCTCGGCCAATGACAGCCACCCTCTGATCCTTCAGGACCTCACAGACCTACAAGATAGTCGCCAGGATAACGCAACCGTGTCTGTTGACGGGACTACGGGACGAATCACCGGAAATGCGAAATTTGCCCCTAGCTTTGGCGTGGGAAACTACGTTTTATACTTTTGTACCGATTTCTCCGGGGCTGCTATCTTCGACAATGGAATCTACTCAAATAGCCGCGCTAGTGCTGACGTCAAGGAGTTCACAATCTCGCGATCTATCAACGGTTACCCTTTGCCCGGCGGTGCTTTCGTTCGATTCGCCAGCGGAAATGCTCCTATATACGCACGCACCGCGACAAGCTTCATCAGTGCTGAGCAGGCCTGCGCACATGCCGAGTCTGAGATTCCGGATTTTGATTTTGACAGCGTCCGGGAGGCAGCAAGAAGTGCTTGGATGGAAAAGCTGAGCTATATTTCCGTTGACACAGAAGGGGTGGATATTTCTTTTGTGACAAATTTTTTTAGTGGATTCTACCGCACAATGATCAACCCACAAAACTACACCGGCGAGAACCCCCTTTGGTCAAGTAGTGAGCCGTATTTTGACTCCTTCTACTGGTGAGTACATTCCACTGGTACAGCAACAAGTGTCTTGAACCCAGTTGCTGATTGGAAAACGTCGAACCAGCCTCTGGGATTCTTTCCGATCGCAAATCCCTTTCCTAACAATCGTTGACCCGGAAGCTGTGGAGGACATGATCAGGTCCCTGATCGACACTTATGTCCACCTCGGCTGGCTACCAGATTGCCGAATGAGTCTCAGCAAGGGCTATACCCAGGTGAGCCCCTGATTCCTCAATATTCGCTGACTTGCCAGCTGAAAACCCATGTAGGGTGGCTCAAATGCAGATGTCGTGCTTGTTGATGGGTATTTGAAGGGTCTCTCCAAGATTGATGTGAGCAAACCCCGTGAAACGCCGTTTCCAAAAGGTCTACAAATCTAATATTGGCAGTGGAATCTTGGATACGAAGCGGTGGTCAAGGACGCTGAGGTCGAGCCTTACGACTGGTGTTGCAATGGACGCGGTGGCATCGACAGCTGGAAAGCACTCGGTTACATTCCAGTGCAGGATTTCGACTACAAGGGCTTTGGGACAATGACTCGTAGTGTCTCAAGGACACTTGAATACAGCTATAATGACTTCTGTATTTCGGAGTTAGCTGCTGCACTGAATGTCACAGCTGACCAGGAGAAATACGTTGCGTCCAGCGGAAATTGGCAGAATCTTTACAGAGCCGATCAAACCTCTTTCCTCAACACATCGAATGGGGCGATGGATACTACATTCGTCGGTTTCTTCCAGCCCAAATACCTCAACCAGACATGGGAAGTTCAGGATCCATTGACGTGCAGCAACATCGACACCTCAGGTATTGCTTGCTCGCTCCAAAATACTGGCAGAGAGACATTTGAGAGCAGCTTATGGGAGTATGGATTGTAAGTCCTATCCTTGTCACAACATTTGCCGATAGTACAGAATACTAATCTAAGCAGTTTTGTTCCCCATGATCAAGCAACACTCATCGCGCTCTACGGGGGTCCCCAGGACTTTGTCCGCCGTCTGGACTATCTACACGACCAGAACATTACCTACATAGGGAATGAGCCTGCTTTCCTCACGGTATTCCAATATCACTACGCTGGTCGCCCTGCTCTCTCTGCAAAGCGATCCCACTTCTATATCCCGTCCTTCTTCAGCCCGACACCTTCAGGTCTTCCTGGCAACGACGATTCTGGAGCCATGGGAAGCTTTCTTGCCTTCAGCATGATTGGACTGTTTCCGAATCCGGGCCAGAATGTCTACCTCATCATACCGCCCTACTTTGCCAGTGTAAACATCACGCACCCGGTCACTGGTAAAACTGCGACCATTCGCAACGTCAACTTTGATCCAACGTACGAAGCGATTTTTATACAATCTGCCACACTAGATGGTGTACCATATACCAGGAACTGGATAGACCACAGTTTCTTCACTGAAGGCAAGGAGTTGGTGCTCACCTTGGGACGGAATGAGAGCAACTGGGGAAGAGCTTTGGACGATTTACCACCCAGTGTCGGGGAGTATACGGGTTTCAATGGTTCGCATACTGGAAATAGCAGAAGTCTAAAGAGATGGACAGGAAACTACTGGTCTCACTTTGGCGGCTTCAACTAGATGTATAGTATTCTAATAATTTATAAAAAGATAGCCTCTACTACATTATATTACTTCTTTCTACTACCTATCTATCTACTTATATATAGAATATAAGAAAATAGCTAAAACCTTTAACATTTTATACTTATTAATTATACTATTAAATAAATAAGGTCACTATAATGCAAGGTTATGATTAGTAAGATATATTTTAAAGCATACTTTTATTCTCTAGTGGTTCTCCGGACGGGTGGCCGCCAGCAGCACGGCCATCTTAGTCGGTGTAGCTGCCCACTTGGCTGTCACCCGCCGCGGGAAACGTGGAAGACTTGGCGCAGTTTCACATTTTAAGCAATAGATTAATAATTTCTAGTATGCCGGCTCAAAATAGGGAGGTTCGCTCTACGGCAGGTCCTGACCGTTTACCGCTGTATGAAGGCACCGCATACGTTTTATATATATGGGGATTAGAAACGAAACCGCTCGCTCTATGATAACATTACAAATTTGTGGAGCCGACAATCAATGCATAAGTGTACTAATCCAAGACAATCGAGAGCATGTGCATTCGCTGAAAAGAGAAACTTCTGTGGAGCGAGTCATTTTACGCTTACGCCCACTTTGGTAACGACTGTAGGTTGTATCTGTATTGAGAGCTATCGACAACGAAAAGAATGGCATCAATGTAAAGGAGAAAAAGCCTGAAAACAACAGGAACATGCCCGTGCGCTCACATGGATGAGCCAGCACCTTCTCAGCGCCGTATGTTCCATCTCTCCGTTCCATCAATGGCGCGCCTGCCCCCGGACAGATCTTTCTTAAGCATCTTCCATATAAGAAGCCGTCGGCTTCAGCGTGTTCACCGTGTCTGACTTCTCGAGGTATTGCTCCTCGAAATACTGGTCCCTCATCCTGGGCGCCATGACGGCCTCAGCGACCGAGTTGAACAGCCTGGTCTGCTTGGCTTCATCAGCTTCGGAAAGGGACAGCGGCACGCCACCGTCAACGACCCTCCAGCCCGCCCTCTCAAACCTCTCGCGCACATAAGGGCTCATATCGACGAAACGGAATTCAACACCCTTGCCACCATACTTGTAGATCTCGGCAGTCAGAGTCTTGAGATGCGTCACAGCGGTAATGTCAATATGATTGACCCTCCCGAAGTCAAGAACGACCAGGCCAATGGGTGGCAGCGCCGAGGCATCGGTAACACCAGCGGCAATCCGAAGGCGGTTAATGCGCTTCTCAGCCACTACAGACCAGTTCCTCTCCCTCTCAGGGCCCCCGGAACCATTGTAGACGGGGCCATGGTGAGTCTGGACCGAGTCTAGGATGCGTGCGGTCAGGCGATGCGAGTTGGGAAAGTAGAAAGACTCGTTGAATCGGAAGACGTGGACATCCATCATCATCTGATCGGCAACGTGCGACGGCGGCAATCCGCGGGCAGCATCGAGGGAAGAGGCCAATTCGGAGCGGGGGGGTACGGCAGATGCGGTGATGGACGTAAATGTTTGGCGCAGAATGAGGTATACGACTGAATTGATGTTAGTCAGCTGTCAGATCTCGGAACAAAACAAGCAGAACATGAAATACTCTGCCTCGGGAAATCGGACGAGAAGGCTTAGTAGCGACTTACTGTTGAAAGCGACAGGAATGAAGATACCGAACTCGGTCGAGTAGAACAACGTGATCCAGAAAGCCAGCATTGAGGTGATGAAGTCGGCGAGCGACGTCTTCCAGAAGCGGTAGAAGGTCGACGGTGGATAGATCAGGGGCCACACGGCGCAAATGATGATAGCTGCGAGAGCTGCCTTAGGGATCCAGTAAAGGAGGCCCACTAGCTTATAGATGGATACGAGGATGATGGCGGTTGTGACAAAGCCTGACAGTGGTGACTTGACTTTGCAGGATGAATTGACTGATGTCCTCGACATGGCGCCGCCGACACCCATGGAATGGAAAAAGCTGTTGAAGAACTGGAAAATGGAGTAGGGTCAGCGATTGAATACAAACGAAGGCCACCGGGGAAGAATTGATCTTCCAGCTTCGGGGTTATTTGAAAAGCAAAACTAGCCACCTACGTTGCAAACTCCGAAGTAACAGAGCTCCTGGCTCTGATCAGGAATATAGTCGTTCCTCACACCAAAGGCCCGCGCGATAGCTGTGTGCTCAATAGCTGCGCCGACGAAAACGGTGATGCTCTTAGTGAAAGTCTGGCTGACAAGATCCATCGAAGGAATTTGAGGCGTCTCCAGACCGTTGGACTTCACCTTGACGACCTTGAACAGGTAGTCATCATCACCAAGATTATGGTTCACGGCGTAGCTGATGCCCGTGTAGAGAACCAAGGCCAGGAATGCGCGGAGGATGGAGAGGAGCCAGACGACCTTGTTCTTATCGCCCCACCGCTTTCCAGCCTTGTCGAGGATGGTCAGGAAGGCGATGCATGAGAAGCCGATGGCACACGTGAGGCCACTCGCACCACCAAGGTTGGCGAATACATCATGTATCTGACTGGCAGCACCATCTGACGAAATGTCCGAGCCGAGTAGAGAGCCCATCTGGTTGAGTAGGATCGTGATGGCCACAGCTGAGATGAAGCCGGTGATGATGGGGATGGAGATGAATTCCAACAGGAAGCCGAGTTTCAGGAACCCCAAGATCATGCCGAATACACCCATTGATATGGCAACCGCGGACGCGATCTGCTGAGGCGAGTACGGTGAATCCTCACCGAAGGACTCAACGATGTCCGATGTGAGGAGCCCTATAAGCGACGTCGGCCCGGTAGACAGATCTGAGGAGTATCTCGTGAGTAGAAGGCCTTCTATTTCGTTCAAAGGCTAGTAGCGTGCTCACCTTTCGTGGTCCCCATGAACGCGTAGAGGGCTGATGGAAACCAGCTCGACATCAAGCCGTACTGGATGGGGATTGTGGCCAGGGAGGCATAGGACAGGCCCTGCGGGATAAGCATGAGACCCAGCGTCAAGCCGGCGATGGTGTCGTTGATGAGCCATCGGGGATTGTATCTTGGCAGCCAGCCCACGATAGGCACCTTGTCGATCATGTATCGCGCCGAGGCAGATGGGAAGGCCTTCGCCGCCTTGGTCGTAAGCCGGCCGAGCTTATTCCAGGTCACATCCGTGCGGACGTCATTCTTCACAGCGTCAACCACCTTCATGATGACGACTGCGTGGGGTTTTGGGGAGGAGGTTTACGAGAGGCAGGGTGAGGTTGTGATGCAAAAGGAGCGTGTCTGAGATGACCAAGTCGGATGCTCTGTCTACACTCTTCTCACCTCCCCAGACGAGAAAGGAGGGCGGGAGGTTATGTACTTGAAGTCAATGGGCGCCTGGGACGAAGGTCATGTGCAGACCCCAAGATCCCTACCACGTATAAGACCTCCGAGCGGACGTGATTGCTGCTCCCGCGGTGCAGTACAGGGGCGGGCCTGTGCTGTGCAAGCATCACAATAGTCGGCCATCCTGCCATACTGCCATCCTGCCACCCCTGGCAGCGAGCAGAGCCTGCCGTGTGTACACGACATGACGAGCGCCCGCCACATGAAGACAGAGGCGCCTCTCCCTGTGTGTCTTCCTCCCACACTCACACACAATGCTGTCGGCGTTCGGGATGTTGACACTCAGATGAGGACAGGGCAACTAGTCTAAGCCAGATAAGACTGGCTACCACTAAAATAGACGAAACCCATCAACAGCATCCATCCCATGTACCTTCGGCAGCTACCTTTTCTGGACGACGGGCCCCGTGGTCGAGGGAGACGCAGCTTCAGGGCCGAATGGGCTGGTCCAATGGCAGCAGCGTGCCATGATGAGGATGTGGTGTGGTGAGATGGCAACCAGTTGGTCGCGAAACAAGCAACGGTCCGGGCTACTGTGGTCGCGCAGGGAGTAAGCAAGTACGTATCTTAGTATAGTGTACACACATCGTATAGTCTAGTGCGGGGTACCCTTCAAGCGCAAGGTCCAGGGACATATTGCTGAAGTGTTTCTTGTGGCCCCTGACAGCTAGCTGGACAAGGAGGAGGAGGAGGTATGGAGAGGCTTGAAAGGCTTGAAAGGCTTGAAAGGGACGGAGAAGAGAAACACACCCACACACCCAGACACCCACGCACATGGTGTGCCTGAGTGACATAGGACAGGGGATGGGGCGGCCGGGAGGCGAAGTATTGCCCTTCGTCTGAGTCGGGGCGCCATGGGTGCGGGGGAGACCCCATCACAACGCTGTCCAACATGTTGGACTGAAGGCCGCGCTGTGCAATCAGAGTCGAGAAGGGCGTTGGGGCCGGCTCGATCTGGCGGCACTTTGTGTTTCTTGGGATTACAAGTAGATGATGAGGCAACTCGGGATGGTGGGGGCCCCCCTGTGATGAGATGAATGTACACAGGCACACACCCACCCACACACACACACACATCCACTTACACCCACGTACACATACATACACACACCACACCTAGATGCATACCTATGCCTCTCTTGGCTCACCGACAAGTGAACGGACGCCTCCCGGGCAGAGTGTCGACAAAGCGGGGCCGTCGGGCACCGGCACGGCTCTCTTCCGTCCAGGTTCCCGTCCTGCCTACGAGACGACTCATCTTTGGGACCGTCCGGAGCATACATACTGGTTGGCTTGAAGGCGAGCGCAACCGAGGGCCTTCAGGGGGTGGTACGCTGGAGGAGACGCCGACGGATGATGGGCGACGAGTGATGGAATCAAAGGGCGAGGGGACCCCCCCTACACCCTTCCCCTGGGTAGCACGCCAGTATGCAACCTTGTAAATACTGTAGTGTACGTTGTGACCCCCTACTCCGTACATTGCACTGGTTGACTGGCAGCCTGTTCTGTTGTAAGTAATCAGCCGCCCATGGCGACACGCACCACCACGCATTGATACCTGGCGTCCGATCTTTTTTTCCGTTCCTTTTTTGTGCCTTCTTTACATGGCTCTGCACGTTCAAAGGGAGGGTGACACTGCGCCCGGGCCAGCCAACATGACACGCACCTGCCGGTCAAGCAAGATATCATATAGCAGATTTCTGTTGCAAGTTGCAGTCGAGGTCATAGGGCATGCATCAGGCCGGTCTGCATCGGGACGGCTAGTTCGGATGTCTGCTTGAGGACGGTATCGACCGACAGGTGCTTGCCAATTGCTTGGGATGTGCGGCAGCCCCTCTGCAATTACTCGTCCTCTTCCAGTCACGGGAGTACCAAGCTGCACAGCCCTTTTGTTACTCCTGGGCGGCCTGATTCCACACTTTTGTTGTCCTTGTTGCCATGACGGTTGGCCCGAGCTGGCCCTGGACTTTGCTCATGGACTCATCATAGACGTGTGCAGGTAGCATTCAGGCTCGCACAATCAGTTCATTATTGATGACATGGATGCTCCGAGTGGGAATTGCCGGGCCAGCTACCCGGGCGGCACGGAGCGGGTATGGGTGAGATCTGCTCTCTCAAAAAGCCTAAAATTAACAACGGCACCGAGGGGCCCCCACCAGGATCCCACGGTGCCAGTGTGACCAGGTGCCCGACGAACAATACAAATCTCAGCCCACGGCCAGACACCCAGACACCGTGCCGGTGCAGGCAATAATGGCGGCTTTCAAATAAAAGAGTGTACAGGGCCTGTCACTTTCCCAGTGGTGCTGTGTATATCGTCTCGCACCGGCCGTTTCGCCTGATTTGCATCCCTGGTCGAGGTGTGATCGGATGAGGCAGTTCGACCGCTTCTCAAGAGCCACATTAGTCAACAAGTGCCCGGTGGCTGGGGTGGCCCTTTTCGACACCCTGGCCAATGGTCAAGCCGATGACTGGGAAGCCCCCATGTGAGGAGGAGCGGGCACGTCTTGACACCTGGGCAGTGGGCACTGATGCGGATGCTACTTGAGTGCCACTGCCACCCCGGAGTCGTTCATAAGCCTTTTTCATCGACGTTTCCCAGCGCTCAATGCTGCATACCCAGGGCCCGGTCGATGTTTCACAGCCGCATCCAGCGACCGAAATGATGGGACAGGCATGCAACGCCCCGCCCCCGGGGTGGCCTGTTATCGATGACCTCACTGGGTGGCTTCGTGATGCTCACTCCGAGACTGGCAACCGCACCCTCGGCGTTCACGACGGCCAGATGCCTGGGGTCTAAAGATAGAGCAAGGAGATAAGATGTGTTTTGACGGCGCCGGGGACGAGACGTTTGAACAAGGCGAGTAGTGACACTCGTGGTGTACGGCAAGCACAAGCATTCGGGCCATTATTGCTTGTGCTCGGGCATGGGACACCTCGGACGATTATAAGCTCAGGGCTGGCTTGGCTCTTGTTGGTACACTACTGTTGGCCAGGCTGGAGTGGTGGCTATGTGAGGAAAAAATGGATCTCTCCAGCTGCTCACGGCTGGACGTCAAGGCCTTCCCACCTTACACAAGGTGATGATCGGGGCCAAGGTGCCAAGTTCCATGCAAGACCTACTTGGCGCAGGACGTTTCCGTCACGGCTTCCCCGACCCGGATGGGTCCCAACAAGGTTTCCCCAGACGCCACCCAACTGGGCGATTGGCTGTGACACTTGTTGTTTGCTCAGCCGCTCCATGCCCAGCTGAGCTTCCAAAATTGGTTCACGTAAGCGGCGTTTACTCGGCATAGCATGAGGCTCATCCAAGCGCTTCATTTATAGCACCCTGAGGACTCCCTCCCCCGGCGCGCCACCCCCAGTCCTGCGACGAAAAATTGCAGTGACACGTCTAGTGAATAGAAGAACCACCGAGAAAGTTTGCTGTGATTTGAACTACCTTCCCATTGGATACGATGATACATTCGCTCCGGCCTCCAGGGCTCCGGATCTACGACTGGGGCATCCAACCTTAGCCCACACGCTGGAAAACGTCCCACGGGATGCTGAAAAAAACCTACCTAGGTACTCTAGGGTCTCGCAGAGGCAGGGCGCAAGGTCCATGACCACTGCTATTGTGAAACCGAAACCGGTATGGCATTCTCTAGAATGCTGTTGGGTTACGACTGTAGACTAAGCATGCAAGAGCAACCAGCATTCACGAGCCACAGGATGGCCCTTGAGGAAACCGCACGAGTCTATATCGCGAAGGCCGCTGAGGACCACAAAAGCTTGTTTTATAGTGGGTAAGCTGGACGTAGCATGTATCTCAATTGCTGACCACAACGGCACCATGGGTTGTTGCACTTGATCCAGGTGACGTAGGGATGGACAATGTCTACTTGATACGCCATCGTGCCTCTTCTGTGATCAACTGTGTTCAGGCTCATAGGCCAAAGAAATCATACGAGCCCCAATTGAAATGCACGAGGCTGCAGCGAGCTTCTAGTCTGCTAGCGATACCCATCGCTTGTAGCGCCGACTTGGACAGCATCTAGGTATCGAGGCGGCCCGGTCAAGGCTGACATAGATTGGGGTATGTTAGGGGGCACACCAATGATAACATAGCTCTTCAGTGTAAGGAGGCAACTCTGAGACTGGCTATGCAGCCTGGCTCCGCTTGGGAGTGGATTCAAATTTGCGAAATCTTCATCGGCTTTAATGCGGGCCCAACACAGGATGTTCATAGCTTGATGGCTCTGAGGTGCCATAGCTCATTCCACACACCCCCCCCCCTCGCACGCATATTCTAGGGCAGCTGTACACTTCGTTCGTCGGTCTACCAAAGAAGCCAGGGGGTGCTTAAAACGTTTGGCTGTCATACCGAGAGATCGCCGCTTGAGACCAGAAGAGCTCCGCCACAATCCTCGGGAGGATAGTCAGAAACATGCAGTCGAGGGGTCGGAAGAGCAACAATGACGCGACCCGCCGACGATCTATCGGAAACAATAGAAGCCGTCAAAGGAGAAAACAAATCCAGAGGTGTTCTCATGATAACCTTTTCAAATGCTCGTCCGGGTCTTGGTCCCGTTGCTGCCCAGGTGGGCGCGAGGCTGCTGGCTCAAGTGCATGGCGAAACATACTATGTTTATCTTGAAAGATATGTTGCCTTATCCTCAAGGGATACTTACTGTTGTTACGGCTTAATAGAGGAAATCAAAGAATATACATAGTCCTATGGCTCAACTGCACTTGCGGGACATTGCGGCTGGAATGGTCGAAATGCAAATACACAAAGACGTGGCGACTAAATTCCCTGAAGCCCAGTAGATGATTCTGAGTATGCAGCCGCTCCAGCCGAAGGATACCGCCCGCGAGCACGCTCAGTGGCCCAAGTTTGCCTCATTACACATGTGGC